CCATTCGTTTCCTTTGAATATAACTAGAGCAGACGGTACTTTTGCAGGCAGCCAGGCGGGGTTATCGTGGCCATATACTGAACCCTTCCTCCTATATTACCCTTCTTCTCTCACGATTTTCTATTATTAATATTGATATCTGCTATGGGTTTGCCAACCACCCAATCATCTTCTATTCTCTTTTTTTTTCTTTCCTTTTTTGTATTTACTTTGTTCCCTTATGCACGCTAAGAGTTCACCGGGGTTGGTAGTAGTACAAAAGGCTGCAGTTGCGCCGATACTAGTAGTACTAGGTAGTATCCCTTTCTATAGCAAACGGGTATGGTGCCAGAGGTGGCCGAATTGGGAAATACTGCACGTGTGCCTTGGTATAGGATCGGATGATGCTTGCATCATGAGAGACACGGAGAAAACAGCACCTTCCCTGAGATCAGTTCCTCGACACCCTTGCAGTCAATTTGGGTAGACACAATTGAGCAACTTGCCGATTGGCTTGTGGAGCCTGTATTTCCCGTGGCCTGCAGTCTAAATCATGTCCCACAGTGGATCTAGACTGTGGTCTTCGCCCGTCAATATCTGAATCCCTGGCACTATGATTCATAATGCGAATTACTATACCAGTCCGCCCGCGGAGGAAATGTCTTACCTGTGCTGCGGACTAGTAATGAGGCGCGGCTGATTTGTTTGTAAATAATCTTTTCTCTTCCGCTGTCTTCGGAAATTCGCCCGGCAGCGGGTTTTAGGGCTTATCGAAATTCAGAAGGATCTTCCGGCGTTTATTTCCGTGGCAGATTGATTGCCGTTGAACCCAGTTCGGAGGGAAGACCTCCGAGTGTTTGGTATATGGATCGACCACAAGCACTGTTAGTCGATTATATAGGTTTCTTTTACGTAGAGATAGAGAGCGAGAGAGACATTCAGATATCCTTGCTTCACCGGTCAATTTAGGAAGGTAGTACTTAAGTCACGGATTCTATACCCAGTACGGCAGGTCGAGTCCTAACGGCAAGGGAAGGAAGATGGCAGACTCGACGGTTGATACTCAATCGCATTACGAGTCAAAGGAAACTTTTTAGCATTCCAGTTGGACCGGATGTTTAGTTTCGAAAATAGTAGGCGCTAAGGTAGGCAAAGAGACTCCACATGGACGAGCACATGCTTGGGCGAGTGGCTGTGATGGGTTTGCCAGCCAGTCTTGGCCTCATTACCCTTGAATCGGGACCGACCAGGGTGGTAAAGTGGACAAATCGGGTCACAAAACGTGCGTGGACTAAGACGATCATGGCAATGGAACTAATATCGGTTCTGAAAGCTATCGCCCAGCGGGACGATTTTAAGTGGTCAATGCATGGGAAGGGAAGCGGACCCCGTATTAACCATACGTCAATACGGCCAGGACTAACGTTTTAGCCAGGCGCTAGTCTACTTTGAGCTCCGCTCCAGACTCGTGATGTCGAGGTACAGCAGTTGCATCTCCCTCTCTCTTTCTCTCTCGCGCGGTACCAACACCGAGTAGTCTATCCCCTGAACTGGAATGGGCTGGGGAGAAAAAAAAGAAAAACAGAAAACAACCGAAAGAATTTTTTTTGTCGCCACTGCATAGCTCACTGCATGCTAGTCAGTGCCAGATCTCCACTCGGTGTTGAATTTGATTACCATATCTTAAAGCTACCGATCTCTTGGTCTTTCCCCTTCCTTTGCCTTTTCTCGCGCATTTCATGATGCTCATTTCTTACATCTAACACTCCCTCCCCGCTTCACCATCTTCAAGAATCCTTCATCCTTAGTAAATTTCATTTCACTCCGAATTAGCCCATCATGAGGTGAGTAGAAGCTTCCCTCCAAGCTCAATGGTAACCTAGTTAACCGTCCCCACCTCTCAAGGTTCGGAGAGCATCTCCGATCGTCGATGATCAAAGAGTACTACTGGTACTACATCGCCTACGATGAATTGAAAAGAGCTCTAAGGACCGATTTCGTCGCCGAACCAGTTCCTTCATACTCTAAACGCGATCGCAAGCCATGGACAGAAGAGGACGAGAAACACTTCGTATCGCTGCTGGAAGGTGAACTGGACAAGGTGTTTAACTTCCAGCGCACGAAAAGTGAGGAAATTGTCCGTCGCATCCAGTCGAGCGAAAAGGAAGTCAATGATGTGGTCTCGCGCCTAGAGACGGTCACGGCGTCGGGCTCGCGCCGTCAAAGTGCCCGTACTAGCATTTGTCCGCCGTCCGACGAGGATTTCATGGTCCTTGAGCAGGTCTTGAGTGACATCATCGCCGACGTCCATGATTTGGCCAAATTCACCCAGCTCAACTACACTGGGTTCCAGAAAATTATCAAGAAACACGATGTACGTGCTATCTTCTTTTTCGCTGTTGGTGTTTATTCTATTTTATTTTTTCTTAGTGTTGGCCCCGGTGTCTGTGCACACGGACTTCAAACTGACATTTCCCGATAGAAAGAAACCGGCTGGCACCTCAAGCCAGTTTTTGCGGCACGACTCAAAGCTAAGCCTTTCTTCAAAGACAATTATGATGCGTTCGTGGTGAAGTTGTCCAAGCTCTATGATCTGGTTCGCACCAAAGGAAACCCGGTTAAGGGAGACTCTTCCGCTGGTGGCACACAACAAAACTTCGTTCGCCAAACAACTAAATACTGGGTTCATCCTGATAATATCACCGAGCTGAAGCTCATCATCCTTAAGGTATGTTCTCACACCTTTGGCCTGATTATCAGCACTGACCGAAGCAGCACCTTCCCGTCCTCGTCTTCAATCCCCAGAAGGAATTCGAGGAAGAGGACACTGCCATCACCTCCATCTACTACGACAATCCGAACACATGGGAGCTATACCAAGGACGGTTGAAGAAGACGGAAGGAGCCGAGGCCATTCGATTGCGCTGGTACGGTGGCATGAAGAGTGACCAAATTTTCGTCGAGCGAAAAACTCATCGCGAGGATTGGACCGGAGAGAAGTCGGTCAAGGCCCGTTTCGCCCTCAAGGAAAAGAATGTTAATGCTTACCTGGCTGGAGAGCTGACGACCGAAGCTATTTTCGACAAGATGAGAAAGGAAGGTAAAAAGAGTGAAGACGAAATCGACAATCTTGAACAGCTAGCTCAAGAGATCCAATACCGGGTCATCACACGACAGCTGAAGCCTGTCACTCGGACCTTCTACCATCGAACTGCTTTTCAGTTGCCGGGCGACGCCAGAGTCCGTATATCGCTCGATACTGAATTGACCATGGTCCGCGAGGATAATCTCGATGGTCACCGCAGAGCGGGAGACAACTGGCGCCGAATGGATATCGGCGTCGATTTTCCTTTCTCCCAGTTGCCCCCCGAAGATGTGGAACGCTTTCCTTATGCCGTTCTCGAAGTGAAGCTTCAGACCCAGGCCGGTCAAGAGCCCCCTCAATGGATCAGGGACCTGACCGCGAGTCACCTAGTAGAAGCGGTGCCCAAGTTCAGCAAGTTTATCCACGGTACAGCGACTCTTTTCCCCGATCGGATCAACCTCCTTCCATTCTGGATGCCACAGATGGATGTGGACATTCGTAAACCCGCGATGCGCCGGTTCGGTATTGAACGACCGCTAGCGAGTACTTCACTATCAGCCAATGAGACCCCCGACGACGAGTATGATTCAGACGAGGACGAATTGGATGACAGACAAGGGCACGCCAATGGCGATCGGAGGGATGCTCGCAATGATCTGTTCGCCGATACAGACGGAAATGCTTTGGATATAGAGGAACGTATCGCCGCCCAGCCGCTTCCGGGAGATGAAGACTACCCGTTATATGATTCGGACGAAGAAGATACTGTCGATTCAGATGAACTGGAAGAGGCGCGACGAGTCGGTGGGATGCACTATTACCGACAATTGGCCAAATACTATACCCAGCAAGCTGGAAGTGCTATAATATCTGGGCTCATCGCACTCATTCCTCGGCCAAGACCAACCAACTTGCCGCCCCCGGAACAAAGGGGAATCGCTGTCATGGGAAACAAGCGTACCGTTAAGCGATTCATCGCTCCGAAGGGAAAGCGTAAGCTCAGCCAAACCCCGTCGCTATTGAGAGAAATCTAACATATCTTAGGTATCCATGTCCCGGTCCGTGTCGAGCCCAAAGTCTACTTCGCTGCGGAACGGACCTTCCTCTCGTGGCTTGAATTCTCAATCCTTCTGGGTACTATCGCGGCCACCCTGCTGAACTTCGGCAATGACTACATCACGTTCGCATCCTCCTGGGCATTTACCGTGCTCGCAGCCCTGGCCCTCGTGTACAGTCTTGTGCTTTACATCTGGCGAGTGGACAAAATCCGCAAGCGCCGCGACGTTAAGCGTGTCTACTACGAGAAATGGGGACCAACCGTCGTTGGCGTTGGCCTTGCAGTGGTCCTATTGGTAAACTTTATCCTACGAGCACGTCAGGCCGAATTCAACGCGAGGGACGACTACCCAGGAAATGGCCAAGGTTCCGACTCAGGAGAATTATGATGTCCTCTCGAACTTGCTTTCTACCTCTCTTAGTTTGCTTTCCTGCTTACTTGAACCTTGTCATTTTCGAATTACCCATACGCGCCAAATTGGCACCTGTGTTTATACGCGTTCTGTTTAGAAGTCGACGAGCAATCACGGATACCTCAGTTTATGGATACGGATGTATTGTATTGTATAAAAGCATGATTATGAACCCATTCCGTCCAGTGAATAAGTGAATAGCGAACAAAGTGACAATCAATGAAAGTGAATACCATACGTTCGTCACAATTCAGCCTCCCGGTAATCTGACAAAGAATCTCCCTGCAATACACTACTACCTTAAAGATCAGTCATACTAGAACTAGAGAAGTATACGTTTTACAACAACGACAACAATTCACAAACACATACAACCATACATCATATTACATCCAATATTCCAATCATAATTATAATGATTAGGTAACGATAGATAAGGTAGGTAGGTAGGTTCAACTATAGTTTACTCACGGGTTATAATCCACAACAGGAATGACAGTATCATCCAAGCTGACGGCATCCTCGTTGGACTCTTCCACGCCCGAGTACTTGTTCAACCAGCCCAGGACCTGTTGGTGCCAGACGAGGCTGTTTTCCTTGTTTTGGACCCTGTTCATCCCCCCCTCCATGTCAGTATTCTTTTCTTCTGGCTCTTGTGGGTTGTTCTATGTTGTAGTGGGGGAGTGGAGTGGGTAAACCGGGGGGTGGGGAACATACCAGTGGTTCTCATCCGGGAAGTTAAGGAATCGACTAGGGACACCGCGTTCCTGGAGGATATTGAAGAGAGAGAGACCCTCTGAGACGGGGAGACGGTAGTCGAGATCGCTGTGGATGACGAGCATGGGAGTGCTGAATTTGAGGATTCGCTCGGGGGCAGAGGGGTCCCAGCGACGGTAGTTCTCGCGGTTATCCCAGAATGTGCCGTTGAACTTTTTGTTAGGGTTATATGTTAGTCATGGCTCGAGTGTGGGTGTTTTTGTTTAGGGGGGGGGGGGGAAGATAGTGGTCGGGTGACTCACCTCGCGCTGCATGAACCACAGTTCTTCGGTCGAGACCTTGGCGTCGGCGACGAATGTGCCGTCGTGGCTGACCAGGGCCTTGAACTTGCGGCCCAGATCGCTGCCTTGGATCCAGTTGATCATGAATCCGCCGTAGCTGGCACCTGCGGCGACGCCGTTGTCAGTGTCGATGAAGTCGAAGTTCTCGTTGACGTATTCCCAGCCCTTGACGAGGTCTTCGTAGGGGTAGCCTCCTGTGGTGGTTTGTTAGCATGAATATGGATTGAGGTGTAAAATATAAGTGGGTCAGTTCGTACCCCATTGGTTTTGGATGGCGTCCTGAAGGGCATCACCGAAGCCACTGCTTCCGGTTGGGTTGGGTGCAACGACTACGTATCCCTGGTCGGCGAAGACCTTGGCGTTCCAGCGGCTGCTCCAGGAGTCGAGCCACGAGCTCTGAGGTCCACCGTGGATGTAGTAGAGAAGGGGGTAGGTCTTGGTCTTGTCGAAGTTCTCGGGGTAGATAACCCAGGCTTGGATCTGCCGTGGTTGTTAGCGAGATCTGAGAAATACTTGAGTTCGGGCATATGTACCTTGGTCCAGTTACCGTCATAGTAGAATTCGTCAATGACTTCGGGACCCAGGCCTTTCAGCTCAGGGTCAATCTTGTTGGCAGTGGCCAACGTCTTAATCACGCCCTTTTCGGGGCTAGCGATGTAGACGTTCCAGCTGGTCCAGAGGGCACTCGCGGTGACCAGATAGGTGGAGTCAGGCAATTGGTAGTAAGCAGATACCACACCGCCGTCGGTGAAGTTCTTAGGCTTGTAGTCGTTGCCGGCATCTGCTGGGATGGAGAACAAACGGCTGCGGCCTGCGTCTTCAACGCCAATGATAAGATTGTCATCATCTGCCCATTTCACGGAGTCGAGAGACCGGTCCCAGTCTGCTGCAAGGGAAGGAATAGTCTTCTTAGAGTCGAGAGTGTACACGTACAAGGTACGGTGGTCTGCCTCGTAAGACTCATCGGCCATCTGCCAGTAGGCAATCTTCTTGCTATCCGGGGAAAACGCCGGGCTGCCGGCGTCACCCTTGACACCCTCGGGGGTGCCGGGGCTATCGGGTCCATTGATTGGGACAGCGGTTTTCGATCCGTCATGGGGGACAAGGAATATATATGCAGTGGTGTAGTTGGCACGTGGGACGTCATGTGCCTTGCTCTTGAAAGCAACCCACTTGCCGTCAGGGGAGAGGTCATAGTCAGAGGCGCCACCAAAAGGCGGGTAGGGGCTCTCAGCATTCTTGACAGGGGAGACGAGGTTCTTGAGACCTCCGTCAGCAGCCTTGTAGGTAGCCTTGCCCTTGCCCTCCGACTTGGTCAAGGTGCCAGAGAACACAGCATTGAATCGGGTGGTAAGGTAGTAATCCCAGTGGCGCACGTAGATGCTGTCATAGATGCGAGCAGAGCTCAGAGGCTTTGCCACAAGCTCTTCGTTGTATGCTGTGCCGTTTGCCCACGACTCGGCGTATGCGATGTAGCGCACATCGCCGGAGTCAGTGGTGACGACTTTGAAGCCAGAGAAAGCAGCCGGCAATGAAGCTGCTTTGTATCTATGCGTCGAGTCAGCGATTGGTGCACACGATCATTCAAAATATAAGAGGCGCTACGTACCCATTGGCGAAATCGGAGATGTCCGACACCCACAATTCTACACCTCCCGGGATGTCGGCATTGGTGCCATTGACATAGAGAACGGTCGAATCATCCGAGCCCAGCCAGACAATCTCGGAGACATCGCTGTCATTCGTCAGGAGCTTGATCTCGCCCGACTTCAGGTCCAGCACGTTCCACTGCGAGGTAGTCTTGTGGGTCTCGAAAGAGTATTGCGATTGCGAGAACACCGCGACATCCTAAGCAGATCCTGTCAGTCATTGGCGCCCAGGTACACGCTCATCAGAGTCAATGCTTACACCAGAAGGGTTAGGGATCGCTTCCGACCTCCGCGGAGCGCTGATCAGGCCCCTGTCGCGCTCAGTTAGCAATCAACACGCTCTGTGAAACATTGAGGGATTGCGACTTACTCAGGGGTGAGGGCCAACGCGGTCGAGGCAGTAGCTGCAATGGAGAGCCACCGAAGAGCTCCCATGTTGAATACCGACTTCATCACGTATCTACCGGAGGAAGGTCCACAACAATCGACCCCCAAAGGAATTGCGATACACAAGGGAGAGAAGGGTGGAATGGATCATCGACGGGGGGGAAGCCCACATGGCTCCTTTATAGAGATCGAGAGGAATGGCAACGGAATGTCTCCGCATTTCGCGATTAAGAACCTGCCCAATGGGGATAGCATGGAGCCATCATGATGACTGCTCACAAAGCCGCAAGACTGATAGCAGTCATCGTGATTAGTGAGATAAACAGGTTGCAATGAGATGGGGTTCCCCACCGCACTCGCGTGGTTGGGCTGGACTCCATGTCTTGGGTTACATGCCAAGGCAATTTAAGGACCGAATCCGTTGGTTTCCTCCGGTCAAGCCTCCCGTTTATCGGTTACTGCCGCCGGCAATAAGCGGGGGGCCGTACGGTGTCGATTCCCTGGACGGACAGACCACGGCTTAGTTAGTGTTTGTTTGGTTCCTTTGTCCTCCGTCCAGGACGATGGCGACAACTTGCGTTATCAGCACACCGACTCGTTCAATTAATTCCCTTTTCTTGGCGCTTACTATCTGGCTGTATTAATATTTGACCATCGTATTATCAATCGTCCGGATTCTTTCCAGAATGGCATGACAGTCATTCATGACGCGATCGGCACCAAAACAAACAGAAACAGAAACCGCCCTAGTGTATATCGTACAAGTGCAATATGTCGACCCCCGGAAAACGAGGGTAGAAGGAAAGTATAATAGTGATATGCAATGCGCTACGCTCCACATCGGAGATTAAACTCAGGAACCCCGACTAGTATTCAAAATCATCGTCCACTCCCTTCTTGCCCGCATTTTCCTTCGCGACCGCCTCCTGTTTCCGATACATCTCGGCTACTTGCCGCGTTGTCGTCGCCTGCTCCGGCTTCTTGTCCTCTCGTGGCTTAATGAACCTAGGGAAGCGGAGAGAAACACCCTTGCCTCCGCCGGTCGTACCCACAAACTCATCAGCCGCAGCTTGATATCGCGGGCTGAGTGTCAAATCGGCTGTCTTCACTTCCCAGACCAGCCGGGGCTCGAACCAGACGTCAGGCTGATCCTTGGGGACCGTCGAATGAGTGTAGAACGGTTTGGGTCGATCAATGACCAGGGGAGATAGCTCTTTGTGAAGCTCCTCGAGGTTGGCTTCGGAAAACCCGGTGCCAATGTTACAAATTGACTCGTAGGTCTGCGTATTGGCATTGTACGCCGCTAGAAGGAAGGCACCATAGACGGAGGTACGCTTGCCTCGCCCGTAGTATGCACCGAGAACGACTAGATCAAGTGAATCCCCGACACCGCTGAGGTAGTCCTTCTTAACCTATGCTCACCATTAGTTACGCGGCAGAAGGGTATGGATTCCGTAGTACACACCTTGAGCCAATTCCGACTCCGCTTACTCGGCTCGTAGCCACTTTCGTTCGTGTCCAACATCTTGACCATCAGACCTTCGCACGATGCTTTGACGCTGTCGTCCAGCAACTCCTGAATCTCATCCAGTACATTGGTGTTACCGAACTGAGCGAACTGGAATTCGCCTTCCGTGATCTGGAATGATTCATGTAAGAGTTCTCGACGTTCGCGGAGTGACTTCTTAACAGTAGGCTATAAATAGCGATGGTTAGCTGCAGCCAATGGAACAATCAAGTTATCGACGTTACCTCTCCATTTAAGAACAAGAGGTCAAAGGCAAATACACAGACTTTAACCTTGACGTCTTCTGCCTTCACATCTTTGCGTTTGCGGGTCATCAGTTGCTGGAAGGGCAGAACCTTCTTGTTTACTGTATCCCAAGCAACAGTCTCGCAGTCCAAAACGAAGCTCTGCACGCCATCCTTGATCCAACCATCGAGCTTAGCCAGCACATCGGGGTATTTCTTCGACAGGTCTTCTGAGTTACGAGAGAAAATGGCAGCGAGACCTTTGCCATCCTTCTGCAACGTATGTTGTGCTTCCGGGTAATTGTGGGTTGCGTCTGGTGCAACGTAGTGAATTTGTGCTCTCTCTCCGTCGTACTTATACTCGCAAGTAAATTCCTTTCCTTCGAAACGGTCAAGGACTTCGGTGATGGATTTCGTCGGCTTAGCAAGCATAGGCTTAATCGGGATACCGGGCTGTAGCTTGCAAGTCTCGTGGAGCTTGGACAGGCCGTTCTGAAGCATGGCGGGAATAATAATCTCATAAGCGGGCAATTCGCTGTACACCGTCTTTAAGATAGCCTCGCCCTCAGCCAACTTTTCAGGCGAAGGAGTCTTCTCTCCTCTGAGGGCGGCTTCGTGAGTCACCACTGCTTGAGCAAGGGCGACAAGGACGGTCTTTTCAGCCAACCCTAGTCTTAATTTCCCTTCCAAAAATCTAACAATAAACTTGGCCTCGCTGGGACCGCCCTTGTCCTTCGTGATATCCACACCTTTGCTACCCTTTCCTGCGGTATCAGCGTCGGCGGCAGAGAGAAGCTTCTTAATGCCGGAGATTTTCTTGTCTTGAGAACCATGACCCTGGACTTTAGCAATACCCAGGAGACCTTCGTGTATTCCCCGGACTGTCAATGGCTTCGGCTTAAACATGGTAGGCTGGTTCGACCGACTCTTAGCTGCCACCAAGCCCAGGTCTCCAATCTCGTGCTGATCTGCCTTGATGACCGCCAGACTGCGGCCAGTACTCTCGCCAATGGCTTTCATGATCAGAGACTCGCCAATTCCCAGTTCGATTCCGGCATAATCGGCAGCTAGTTTGTTGATCATAAGCTGGACTGTTGGAAGGAGGTCTTCGGGTGTCAACCGAAGGACCTGGCGAAGAAACAGAGAGCAATGGGCAAGAATCACCAATCGCTTAGTGGTCATTTCGATCAGTGAGAAGGTCGTGCACAGTGCTGCATAAGGAACGGGGGAACCAGGCTTCCAGTCCGGATATGGCTCACTGCCGCTCGCTTTCAACGTAGCCTGCACTTTTTCCATGGTCTTCTTCATCACCTCGGGCTTCTCCTCGTCTTCACTGGCCGACAACGCTTCCTCCTCAGATTTGTCTTCCTCGGGAGTCTCCTCCCCCGACGCTTTCTTTACAACAGCCGGCTGCCCTACCTTTTCGGGTTTAATTTCTTTTTTGGATGGGGAGCGCTTAGGAGATGGTGTCTTAGATTTCTTCTTCGGAGAAGGGGTTCCTTCCTGGTTTCGTGAAGTCCTCCGTCTCCGTTTCTGTGCAGGTTGGACATCGCTGTCACTGGCTTCTTCCTCGCTCTCTTTCCTTTTCAGGTCATTAGAGTCATTATGTCCGTTTTCCGGAGCTGAGTTTGGCTTAATCTCGACTGGATCTGCGCTTGTAGAAATTCCACTTTCCGCCCCATTGGCGCCCTCTCGATCTGCAAATGAAGAATCGTGTGTTGTCTCTGGTTTCGTCGCAGCTTTTTGGGCCTTATCTTTCTTGCCAGAAAAAGAAAGCGTAGTCTGTTTCTTAGGAGCGTCTTTCGGGTCCGCATTCGAGCCGAAAAATCGCCTGTTTGCCAACAAGATATACCAGTTAGCCACGCCAATTGCCCACAAACCATAGCTACACTCAGGCGACTCATATCAAGACGCACCCAAGAGTCAATTGGGAGTCACGAACATACCCCAGCGTAGCCTGCTTCCGGCCCTTTGAATCTGCCATTCTGGATAATATAGATGGAGAGAGAAAAGCTAGTGTGCGGAGATTCGCCTGCGGTGGGTGAGTACCGAATTGTCTTTCGAGTAATCTGTGTCCCACTGTGTGTTGTTGGGCACGAGCACGACAGCTGATTAAATAGAGACGTTGCGGTACTGGAGTGAAAATGATTGGTTTCTGGAAGCGCGCAACAATTGCGGATCTGCGACGAGCGGACATAGGACGTCGTATTCACCTGGGTATCAAACAGACATTTGAGGGAAGGGGTTAGAATATTTATATTTGGATCAGAGATTGCATCAGTGAATGCGCCGCATTTAACGATTTTCATTCACTGAATTGCATTGAAGGCAGACGCCGGCTGCCTGCGCGCAACGCGTGACGCGGTGCTATTAAGTCACGTGTACCTATATAGATAAGATAAGGATAGTCCCCCCCACCCACTGTATGTACGACTGTAGATTCACGCGCATTGTCTTCTCTGTAAATTCCTCTAGATCTAATAAAGAGAGCTCGAAGATAGTATTATCTTTCTCTATTCACTATATGGATCATAGCCATGCCTTCAGCGTGAAAGATTGGTGTTAGTTGACTCTAACAATAGCAGCTGAGGATGAACTTGAAGTATATAATTTCGATAACATTATTCCCTTTTAGGTTTCGCATCCTCAACTATATTATCGACACCACCTTTATCCCCAGTTGCCAGCGTAACAACACTCTCCGTAGTATGACTCTGCTGGCGATCGTTCCTCGCAAACCCCTCAAAAGGCCTCATAATATGACAAGCCACCTCTTCAAGAAGGTATAGTGGTCCTATCCACGCAACATTCCCCGTAAGAGCCGCGTCCTCACCCACTGGTGGACTCTCTACGTGATCATGAACAGTTCGGAGGCACTTAATCTTCATCTATAGCCCCAAGTCTACGACCATGCCAACGCCATCCTCAAAACTAGTTAGAGTATAGACGGTGCCGACGTTCGACTTAGGGTTAGCGATGAGCACTCTATAGAGTTTGGACTGATAGAGGTGCTCTACTTACCTGATCCTTAGGTCATGGCTTCCAGGATTGTGGCGCGGGAGAGTCCGTCTGGAATTTCTTCGGCATGATGCCGCTGGAGATCTTTGCAAAGTACTTTGGTGATCATGGAGATGGGTTAGTTGAAGTTCCAGGTGTTTCCATGGGATATGATGAACAAACTTGAGAACATATGGTCAGGTGAGCACAAATGACTGAGCATAGGGTTCAAAGAATGGACGGAGGTATTCTCTGGAGAAAGACGCTCTTCTTTTTCAGACCATCCTCCTTTCAGGTGCCTGCTCCTTAATGGAGAAACAATGTACTATATCTCAAAGGCCTCCACAAGGAAGACTCCTCGATTGACGGTTAATCTTCAGGGCTCGACTAATGGTTGCAGAACATGTCGGACTTCCTTGTTGATTATTGCATCAGTGTGGTCTGAAAACCCGAAGATGATGACAATGCCAACTGTATGCCCTATATGATATGGGGATGACAGGAATGTGTACTATTAGATTCTTGGAATCTATATTTAGTGTTCCCATTCCAGATTCTTGGCGTTTACATCTAATGGCTGGTCTCTTTCGTCCTCCTGGCCGTGATTGCTTCTCTTTTTTGGGCGAGCACTTGCTCACCTATACCCCTATTCAATTTTCTCTACTCTGACTTGTCTTTCTCTAATCCAACGCCTCTGTAGGCACGTTGCAAATAAACAGTTATCATCACCCTTCTGGCTGGCGCTGTCATCTCCTCTGCGATAAATCAACTTGAACCTGATCATGGACTGTTATTTTGCTCCCTCCATCTTACGGCCGGACTTCACTTGGCCGCGGCCAGTGCGATGTACAATTTCGCAGAGTACCCCTCCAGTGCCTCGGATACCAAGCAAAGCCATTAGAATAGCCTGGGGCGTACTTCACAAGGCGCTATACTACTTATCTCAATGGTATTGCTCTTGGTTTGATATTCCATTCGATGTCAATATCTTGCAACTAACTTTCGGGCTTATTATGAAATGGACAGACCGGACGAGCATAGAGGAAGCTATTGCAATGCAGATGGCAAGAGCCACTGGTATGCCTGCTCCGAGATTAATATCCTGTGGGGAGCATCCGAATGCTCCTTTTAACCGGAAAATTTCAATCTTAATGACAAGGTTGCCTGGTACCCCTCTGGAGAACTCAAGATATCAGTTGGAAGTTGATGCTGAGGGCCCATGGCTGGATGAATTAAAGATATGCGTACATCCCATGCGTTTATGGTGTCCTCCTGACCAAAGTTCTATCTGTTCTCCAATTGGGACCTCTATACGAAGCCCACGGGTTCCTGGTCACGTTATAGGCCCTTTCATAAGCGAGAGGGACTTTTACGACTATCTCTTTAGTCCTGCTTCTAGCCACGCATTCGAATCGCCTGTGGAATATGAGCAGACCTTGATATGTGCGAAGAAGCTACAGCAACAATCCCACTGAATTACGTTTACCTATGGGGATTTCAAGGCGCATAATATTCTTGTTGGAGATAATGGGCATTTATCTGGGTTTCTTTATTGGGAGACCGCAGGATGGTATCCTGAACACTGGGAGTTCACAACGGCAATGCGTTTTAGGCAAGGTTGTTGGCGGTTCCAAGTAGCTTCTTGGATCGGGGGAGATCAATACCGCGAGGAACTAGAATTGAGGCCACCTTACTGCTTAGACACTGGAACAGACATTATCAAAGCGATCATTGGCTACAAAGTACAAGGAAAGCCGGAGTGACAAACTGCTAACAAGACAACAGGCGCATGAAAACAATAATTTCTCTCGCACTATATGGCCTCTGTGTCCTGAGTCTTCCAGCCGAAGCATAATGCCTAAAATTGAGATAGTCATCCAGACTGGGATCATTAGCATGCAACCCTACCTTGCAGAATACTTGCTATCGTCGCTTCATGGTAGTCCGTATGAGTTTAAGATTGCTTATAGTATCGCATAGTTCAGGAGCTGATACTTGATGCTTAGATAATAACATGCAAGAACCCAAAGTCGCATAAAATCAAAGCCACACTAAAAGATATTGACGATTAGTTTCACTCCCACTAAGATCCTTCAGCATGGGTCCCGGGTATAACAATCACAGAGTCGTTGCTTAATGCCCCGGGCGTAACGGGCCCCTCTTCTTTACCACATACTATAGGTTTCAAATTCTATATACCAGTATCAGTGCAATGGAACCAAGATTAAAGAAGCATATTATGACGTACACAATCTGGAGTTCCTCTTCCTTGCCCACAGTACATACTTAAATCCTTTATCCCTCAATAGGGTATGGATGTTTTCTAGTCTTATTAGCAAAAGCTATATAGTATATTTGTCCAGTCAAACTGTGGCTTTCCCCAGGGTTCGGATTCAACTATCAGTTCATATTCTAGTCCGCTCCTCGTCATTGACCATTCTGTTTTCAAGTTAGGCAAGCCAGGAGTGGATGCGAGCCAAATTTGCCTGTATTAGATTTAGTATGAAGCAGAAAGTGTATTATCAGTGTACTCTATTCTCTGTGTACAAACAGCACCCGTAGATGTTGCCTCTCACACCGCCCTCAAGTTTTGCCAGCAGAAAAGGTGGGCGGAGAACAATCACTACTTGTGACGTTCCATTTATCTTGCTTCTGTTTGGCTCATGTACTTCAAGATCTGATATCTCAGCAGATTCAAGTTTCAGTAAACTGATAGCAAGCCGGATGGTAAGCTCGTAGAGCCACGCTCCTGATCTCATTTGCCAGTGCCATAATAGGCATAATGGAGTACTCACGGCAAGAAGCCTTTAAAAAGGTACAGACAAGCTCCATTCACATTCTGTACAGTGACATGGCTAATGCACTTCAAAGCTTCGGGACCCTTGTGTTGAGCTCAGCTCTGTCGGCCTGAGATACCGTGGCCATCAGGCATCCCCCAACGATGTATTCCGGGCTCTCAAACCAGTGCAGAGCGTCCTGAAGGAACTCTCAAGCAAAGGTTCACTGGACGAAAAGCTGGCAGAATATGCATTCTTTCCGCTGTCCCACATTTTCAACGAGAGCCAGAGAATTTCGGCTAATTGCTTGGAATTGGCAGTCGACTGCTTGCGGATATTGGTTGCTGACGGGTGGCGACAACGCCTATCCCCGCAAATGGGCAAGCAGCTCATGATACTGCTTACGTTGATTATTGGAGGCCCTCCAAGTAAAGCCAATAGTAACCAGCAAACACAATCCAAGCCAGCGGAATTGTCTATCGCTGGCTTTGACTGTCTTTCAGCCATCTTTGATGTTATGGAAGGGCCTGTAGCGCAAAGGACGATCTATAACGAAATCGGTACAGCGACTGTTGTTGACCAGACTGTGTATGTCTTGCTTGAAGGAATTTTAGACACTACATCAGACGACCTTTGCGTTTCTGCTGCAAAAGCCCTTCAAGCCCTGTACTATCGAATAACTGACCGGGTAGTTCTGGCTAGCGTAATGCCACGGACGGCCTCGACGCTAACAAAGGTCATCAAGCCAACAACTCAAGTACGACGCTCTTACAAGCTGCTTTCTGCTTGTATTAAGGTCCTTACACACATGCTTAAAGTTGTTCTTAATGACCAAGTAGCGAGCGTCGCACCAGAGAAGCCCGCTCAGTCCCAGGAAAGTGGTGATGGTCTTGTGCTTGATGAATCCTGGCTGAAGGCCACAACTACGCAAATTAAGCTTGCGCTTGCGAATGTTATCCAGGTTAGGCGACATGACAGGCCTGAAGTACAAGAGTCGCTATTAGAACTATGCTCAATGGTCGTGGAGGATTGCCGAAGCACACTGCAAGAGTCGCTCCCGCTAGTGGTTGAGACTATGGTCGTGCTATCTGAAACTAGTGATGACGAATCACCTAACAATGCATACACAATCCTCATGCATCTTGCCACCGCATATGCTGAGGTATTGGATGCCCTTAAGAACTCTCTGCATGCTTGGATTACCGCTTTCCCGAGAACCATGCAAAGCAATGATGAAACGTCGAAGCAATGGGCACTTAAACAGATAGCCACTGCCTTTCAGATATTGTCCCAGATCCAGTCCGGGTCTGACATACTCACTACTGGACTTGCATCAGGACTGTGTGACAGCGTTTCAGCAGCCATCAACCATTCCAACAATGCCCTTCAACCTTGGAACCCTGAAACATCAGGCAGTCAAACACTAGAAGTGCTTCACCACGGAAATCAGTCAAGATCTTTCCCACCGGTGCTTTTGGAACATCGCAGTCAACAGCAAACCCTCAAAGACCTTCAATCCATGATTCTCAGGCTTAACAGGTCCGAATCCGGAAGTAATATCACACGTCTAATCATCAACCGGGTCCATCAAGAAACAGGCAATTCTATTGCGCCTTTTTGGTTGGCGTTAGAATTCCTCAAAAGCGGTTCCCAACTCACTAGTCTTGATGAATTCATTTCATCGGACTTTATCGAACCGTCATCCCTGTTTTCTACGAGAGCTAACATGATCGAAGAATTATATTACATCTCACTCCCTGTACTAAGCGAATCATTGCCTGACGAATCAAAAGACTGGCGGGTTTCGGCTCTTGCTCTAGAAGTAATCGCACTCCAGGCCCAACAGCTTCGTGAAGAATTTCGGCCAGAGTTGATGGACGCATTATATCCTGTTCTCCAACTTCTATCATCGCCCAACCCAAACCTTCAGAGACATGCTATGGTCTGTCTCAATGTACTAACCGAAGCCTGTAACTATGAGAGCACGAGCACGATGGTTATTGAAAACGTCGACTACCTTGTGAACTCAGTGGCCTTGAAGCTAAACACGTTCGATGTCTCACCGTATCCACCCCAGGTGTTGTTCATGATGGTCAAGCTATGCGGTGTGCGGTTGATTCCATATCTCGACGATCTTGTCGATTCAATCTTTGGGATATTGGATATGTATCACGGATATCCAAAACTCGTTGAAATGATGTTCAAAACCTTGGCCGCCATTGTTGAGGAAGGGACCAAGAGTCCTTCATTCCTGGCAATAGGCGATGGAACGGACAGCAACCGTGCGGGACATCGCAAGAAGCAGCACAAGAGGTTACAGATCTCTACTCTTGCTAAGGACCTGAAGAATCGGAAAGCGAAACGTGCCAGGCACCTGGACGACTTTCCTGACGCTGACGAGCACGTGTCCCACCCAGAACGGCCGTGGACCACAAAGCCTGATAAACCGGTCGAGCCAGAAGAGGATATCGAGGCGCTTCTGAACAAAGTCACAGAAGAATCAGACGAACCACTGCCTGCACCACGCGAACCTGAAGACCAAGAAAAGCCTTTGAGCAAATCACACAACCTATTGCTACACATCATCAAGTCTATCCCCTCACATCTTTCTTCTCCATCGCCTTACCTCCGCCGGTCCTTACTCTCTATCCTTACCCAGGTATCACCAATTCTCTCAGGACACGAGAACAGCTTCTTACCCATCATCAATGAGGTGTGGCCATCAGTAGCCGCAAGGATCAGCCTTCCCTCATCCTTCACTAGCAGCTCCTCATCAACAGCGCTCATGGCAAGAGAAGACTCAAACAACGGACCCAAGAACCGACCAGACGACGAATTCAACTTCAAAGAAGAAATATACGTAACCACAACAGCCTGTCAAGCCATCGAAAGCATGTGCAAGAGCGCCGGCGATTTCATGGCCACCCGAATCGAAACCGAATTCCCTCGATGGGAACGCCTCTACCGTCGCGTATGGGAGACCGTCCGACAAGACGCCGAAAAGGCCATTCAGCGACGAGCCAGGAGCCAAGCCACCAACGAAAAGACAGATATACTTCTTTCATTATCCCTGGGTCTCTCACAATCACTATCTCTCAATACAGCAGGGGGCCCCTCAGGCACTCGCGCATTCACACCTCACCATAGTCTCTGGCGAGCTCTCCTCTCCCTGTTCATCACTCTTCTCACACATGTCCGTCTGCCTTTGTCTATGGGTGACCAGATCTGTGAATTCCTGGCGGCTTGGATAGCCCGGTTCGCTGGTCCAGATTACTATTCTTCTTCGTTGTCATCGTCAAAGCAGGAAATCCCATCTTCTCTTCGTCCGGAAATAAACACTGTCAACAATGCTATCGAGGCAATGGAAATCTGGAACGTTGACCTGACTTGGTTCATTTTTCAGCAGCAAAAGGCACAAGTGCGGGGTATCATACCTCAAAGAAAGACACCCAGTGCTTCCCTGATAAGTGAAATCAACGAAGACCCCTTGGAAACGTGGTCATCGCCAGGACATAAATTGAAGTTTGCAGCGTTGGTGTTTTGAGTGTGCATGAAGAGCTGGATTATAAAGTGGCTTAGGTATGAATGTGATAAGGAGAACATATCTTCTAAGGTATAACGATTGAATGATTATGTTGATAATACATTTACAGCATCTGTGTAGATTGTTACGGTAGACGAATGGACTCTGGTTGTGCCAAAGAGAGTCGAGGCCAATGTCTTCTTACCATTGATGGTGGCACTCAAGGTATGCCAGACAGTACATATAACCCTACTGAATCACAGGACAGGTCTTCACAATACATAGGGATACTAATGTTGTGAAACGGTAGAGCACACTTTGGAACATCTCTAAAGCGTAGAAGGGGGCTCTAACGTCTGCAAAAATACTTTACTTTGATACCCAGGGCAGGTTTACGATAAATATAGGATCATCATGTGCGAGAAGATTCAATTTGCAAAGCACTAATCTCAGCAATTTCTTAACTGTTTCTCCTGATTATTCTCAAACCAGAAACATCACAACAGGTCATGATGACCGTCAATAGAACTAAGCGAGTGGAGAGTAGTTGGGACGACGAATCAAAGCCAAACAAAAAACATCCCGAAAGTAGTTTCCATAAAATAGAGAACCATTAATAGATCAGCTGATCTATTCGTCATCGCTCTCCTCTTCGCTCTCCGACTCGGCATTCTCAAGCCATTCGAGGAAAGGCGCAGCAGCCTTGCGGACCTTCTTGCTGGTGGAGATATCAACATACTTCTTGCTAGCCTTAGAGCCCCATGCCTTGAGGGTCTCCTCGGAGATGATATCCTCTTCATAGAGGCGAAGAAGAACGGCAGGGATTTGGCTGATCAACTCGGGGTGATCCTTGCCAACGAAGCGTTCAATACCACCCAAGAAGGCCTTCTCGTGGCGCTCTGAGGTAATCATCTTCTTAAGCAGACCAGCGCGGCCAGGGATCTGCTTAGCAATGTCCTTGTCGAACATGGTTTGAGAAAGGACTGCCAGGGTCTTGTGCTTCGACTCAATACCATATTCCTTGGCCTTCATGTAGATGTCTACATCACTGACTTTAGCAACACCACCCTTCTCAGTGGCGGTGTCCTGTACCCAGCTACCGAGCTCATCATAGGCAGAAGGACCATCAGCACCATCCTCGTCCGCATCCTCGATGACCAGGGAACGCTTCAGGTCATCGGGAAGCTCCTTGGCACGAGCACGGACGGCCTCCTCAGAGACGTCGACGGACCACTGAACTTCATCGGCATCCTCAGCTTCAATGTTATCGGCCTCAGACTTAATACGACGGGTAAGCTCATCGTCACTGCCAGCGTCCATGCCCAGGTCGCCATTCTCGGCGTCACCATTGTCAGAATTGCTGTCTCCCGGGCTGCCGTTTTCTCCATTCGCTGTTTCATTCTTCTTGTTCCGCTGTTCACGACGGGTCTTCTTGTCGGCCTTGTTCTTTTTCCCTCCTTTTCCACTAGTTTCGTTGCGGAGGATGAAGGTGCTCAGTTTCAGACGGGAATCAACATCGGTACGCTGTCCGCAGGCTTTGCAATCCAAGATAATCTTGTCATCCTTGATGATGACGTCGGTTTCAGGGTTCTTGCACTTCTTGCAAAGAACGAATTTGGAGATGAAACCGTCAAGGTAATCCTGGAGCTTGGCAGCATCGTGGGCGCCATTGATGATCCAACGTTCATCGGTCGGCTTGGCGTTGGCCTGAGCACCAAGCTCGAATCCGAAGTACTTGATCACGTATGCAGGAGGACGGCTAAGGGACTGAGCGACCGAGTTCAGGTTGACAACAACGGTCTTGATTCCATTGCCCTTGCCCTCAATCTTGGACTGCAGGCGCTCCATCTTGTAACGATAGAAGGGATCGGTAACATCCCGACGAATGTTGACGGTAGCCATGGTGAATAAAGATGAAGATCTTTGTTTACTTAAGAAGGTGTCTGAAAACGAAGCGGGAGGGATTCCGGACTAAGGATGTCTTGACAGTACAAGACATGCGTAGTGAGTTCCTGATTTTGGAGGAATGGTGGCGGTTAAGATCGTCTCAACGGAACGACTGGCACAGCGAAGATGGCAGCCCAAAGCTTTCAGCCACAGGACTTAGAATGTATACTACAAGGTTTCGACGCGGGGCGAAACGTTTGCAGCTTGAGCGGCAGGTGGTAGTCGAGATCTCTGACACAGGACGAATACATAGACAAGTTTCGATCGACTGTTTTAGTGGACTTCTCCAACGGGAAGAGAGAGAAACCAACAGGGTGGTTCTTCTGTAAGGCAGCAGGTAAAGACACAGGTCAGAATTTCGACACTTTCGATGACTAGTGGCTGACGACGAGATGACCGTAGAACTAACCAGTGGCTTTGATGAATCAAAATGCGCAGTAACAACCGTAAGCCGTGTTTAACAGCTTTCCGGGGAGCTTTGGAAGACGTGGCAATGTCAAGAACTGATGACTTGACGATGAAAAGAAGAGCAGGTTGGGATGGGAAAGAAAGAGAAAAAGAGGAGGGAAAGAGAAAGAAATTGTTGCCAAATAGAAGGGACGATTCGAGTGCTCCACCGCCAAGCCCGGCAGAAAAAAAATAGAAGAGAAAAAAAAACCCACTCTGAGTCAGCAGACCGGCTCCTTTCCGGATCAGGTCGGCTCCGAGCGCACGTGCACAACGCCCTTTCAAACAATCGCGTTTCGGGGTTATGTCGGATTTAACATTCCTTTTGTCGGTTGATTTCAATATCACACATCTGCCTGCACCGACAAACATTCCTCGGTTAGCCTTGCTTCACTTCTGTTGTTTACCTTTCCTTACGCGGTTGAGCGAATTTCCATGCAAGATACAGCCGGTCTGATTCCTGTACGCTGTACAATCCCTTGTGTTGTACGAAAATACAACTAGTTGCCATGAACCTAAAGAATACGCTTTGAGCTACGTACAACTGTGAACCACTAGGCGGCACCACGATGAAATACAATATCGCATCTTTGGATACTGCCGATCCTTTGATCCTTCATTCATGCAAATTTTTGATGAAGAGCGACCAGTAGAATGCCCCAACTTCACACCCCTCACATAGGGCTCGGGGTGACTACTTGAATTGGGTTTAGAGCGATGTTCGCTAAAGTACTGGTTTCAGGGCGATGCAGGGGCCGAAGTTCGCGAGTCGTTTCTGTCTTAGGCACCACTGCAGCTAGCCATGCAGAGAAAGTTCCAAGGAGTAGCTGAATGACTATACTTCCTTTGGATACGTGCATGTTGTAGACATATGGGTGTACTCGGTATATTTATGGACAATGCTTAATCTACTACCAGGACGAGGCATATCCCAAATATTACGGAAACATTATCCTGGGGCTTGTAACAGTGCATAGGACAGCACAGTTGTACAGTTCCGCTATATTAAAAGCACTCATTGTGTTGAGTTGTGGTTTAGAAGGTCGAACTTTGCCCATTCAGGGCTCTATATATACTCGGTATAGGTACTAACTGGTTGTGATCTAAACTATACCAATGCACTACCCGATCATCTGTGCTACGATATCCCCAGACTGAAGGGAAGTTGAGTCAATACAGGGTTGGATCTATTGTAGGGTTATATAACATCAACAGACTCTAGGTTATGGTACTAGTAGTTATTGGCGATGCGACAGTATGACTAACTAGTATTGCGTAAATGGATGCAAACAACCCCAACGTCATTTCACCCTCTTCTTCAACCGGTCCGACTATATCACTGCCATCGTGAGCAGAAGACCTATGACTATCATTTTATAGAAGGTATTGTGTTCACCCATTTGCCATGGGAAAATTTTCCAGGCTCATCCCTATCCTTGTCCCCACATACCCCACGTGCCCCTCCACCAGTGTCTCGACGCTTGATGAAAGTCCTGTAAATGCAGCCATAAATACTAATTAGTGCAATCCAGAAAAGTAAAAATGCCGTTAAATCTCTCCTTGTATCTGGTTACCGACTCGACTCCGGCCATCCTCAAGGGCCGTGATCTGTGCACGGTGGTGGAGGAAGCTTTGAAAGGAGGTCAGTCATTCTCTACTCCCGGCAAATTCTCCACTAACGCTTGGCGTAGGTGTCACGATAGTCCAATACAGGGACAAGAAAAGTGATACAGGAGAGCAGATACAGACAGCTAAGAAGTTGCATCAGATCACCCAGAAGTATGGGGTTCCCTTACTGATCAATGACCGTGTGGATGTTGCTCTTGCCGCTGGAGTTGAGGGCGTCCATCTCGGTCAAGATGACATGGGTGAGCTATCCGCCTCTGCCATGCAGTCTTTATGGTCTAATTTCTTGCAGCCATTGAACAAGCAAAGCAGCTTCTTCCTAAGGATGCTATTATTGGTATCACTGCTGCCTCGATAGAAGAGGCTCAAAAGGCCATTGATGCCGGTGCAGACTACCTTGGGATAGGAACCATGTTTGCAACCCCAACGTATGTTATCTGCTACAAAGCGTTCCAGCAACCATACAGTTTACTATTTCAAAAATCATACTGATCCCTATTAGCAAGACCAACACCAAGCATATCATCGGAACTGCCGGTACCCAGGCTATTCTTGATGCCATCTCGGACACGGGCCGCTCTGTTGGGACCGTCTCAATTGGTGGAATCAATCTCTCCAACGTTCAACGAGTCCTTTACCAGTCCAGAGCTCCCAGGAAGGAACTTGACGGTGTTGCCATTGTCAGTGCCATTATAGCCGCGGACGACCCGAAGGCTGCAGCAGCTGAATTCGTGAAACGTATCGCCAGTCCCCCGCCATTCGTACGAGCCCCAGCTGCTCCTCAGATCCGTGAAGTTGCTGCACTACAGGAGGAGGTGCCAAAGATCGTCCAAAAGGTCGTACAAGCGCATCCTCTTGTGCACAACATGATCAACTTTGTTGTTGCTAACTTCGTTGCTAATGTTGCTCTGTCAATGTAAGTTGCCTCGATTGTGCGACCTGTGCATCTCAATTAAATGTCTTCTAGGGGTGCTTCTCCTATCATGGCCCCGCAGGGGGATGAGGCTGTGGATCTCGCGCAGTTCGATTGTGGCCTAGTTGTCAACATGGGTACCTTGACTAGCGAGAGCGTTCCCAACTACCTGAAAGCTATCAAGGCTTACAACGAGCGTGGTAACCCCGTTGTATATGATCCTGTTGGTGCTGCCGCTACACATATTCGTCGCGGAGCGGTCAAACAACTCATGGCGGGGGGATATTTCGATCTCATCAAAGGCAACGAGGGAGAAATCCGACAGGTCTTTGGAAGCAGTGGCGTGACTCAGCGTGGTGTTGACAGCGGCCCAAGCAGTCTGGATGGTCAAGCTAAGGCCATCCTAGCCCGGGACCTGGCTCGGAGAGAGCGTAAGCCGTCACCTGTCCTTTTCTCATTGAAGCCATACTAACCTGGTCTGCCACAGATAACCTTGTTCTTCTCACTGGCGCCGTTGATTATCTCAGCGACGGCGAGCGAGTTATCGCAGTGGAGAACGGACACGAACTCCTTGGACAAGTCACTGGCGTATGCTTACTTCCCTGCTTCTACAGAACAATCATAAGACAATATGCTGATATGACATATAGACCGGCTGTGCCGTGGGAACTGTATCCGGCTGCTTCCTCACTGCCCACCCATCCGACAGACTCATGGCTGTCCTGTCCGGTATTCTGATGTACGAGATCGCAGCGGAGAACGCCGCCTCGAAAGAGTACGTGCGGGGACCCGGCAGCTTTGTTCCTGCATTCCTCGACGAGCTCTATGCCATCCGCCAGGCAGCCCTGAAGGGGGACCACAGCTGGTTTACCGGACGGGCCAAGATCCAAGTGATCGATTTGTAAAGGCATCAGCATATGTTGGTTTCATGTGAATATAAAAGTTACTAGAAATGCTATCGATGTACACATTCCCAGATAAAAGAACCACACTCTCTTTCTCTCACAGGAACAGGAAGATAGACAAACCCAAATGAATGAAATAACCATACACCCCCTGCAAGAGAGGACCAATGTCCACAACCTCGATAACATAGTCCCATTTTCTGCCTGACATACCAGGCACCAAATCTCCGATCATCTCCGCATACTCCTCACGGACTTCCCCGCCCGATGGCCTCGGCAGTCAGTCACTTCTTCTTCCTCTACAATTGTCAATTGACCGCAAGCTCATTTATTCCATTTCACACATCCCACATTCAACTCGCCGGTCCCAATCACCATACCTAAACTCCTATACTACAACCACCCAAAATGGCCACCATCACAAGAGCAGCCCGCATCCGTAAGTCCCGTCCCCCACAAGCCCAATCAATATCTAGATAACCACTAACAAAAAAGCAACAGGCAACCCAGCCCTATTGTACGTCCATTAACCCCTGAAAGAAAATAAACCATGAACCTAACAAACCCACAGCATCTGCGACATCCAAGAGAAATTCAGACCGGTGATCTACGAATTCTCCAAACTGTACGTCACATCATTAACCAGAAGCAAATCCACCACCAACCCAAGAAACACCACCACAACTTGGAACCCTAATACTAATATTGAAAAAACAAAAAACAGAATCCCAACAACAGCCAAACTCCTCAAAGCCGCCAACGCCCTCCAGATCCCAACCTACGTGACGACCCAAAACCGGGCCAAACTCGGCGACACGGTTTCCGAGCTCAAGCCGCATCTCTCGTCGCCGAATGTGAAGGCCGATGTCGACAAGACCCTGTTCTCGATGATCACGCCGGAGATTGAGGCGAAGCTGCCCAAGGTTTCTGCGGGGGAGGCGGGCCTTGATGCTATTATTGTCGGGATTGAGACGCATATCTGTGTTACGCAGACGACGCTGGATTTGTTGGAGAGGGGGCATCGGGTTTATGTTATTGTGGATGGGGTGAGTAGTGTCAATAGTGAGGAGAGGGGGATTGCGTTGGCGAGGTTGAGGGATGCTGGGGCCGTGGTGACTAGTAGTGAGAGTATCTTGTTTGAGGTCTTGGGGGATGCGAGCCATGGTGGGTTTAGGACTGTTAGTGGGCTGGTTAAGGAGATGAAGGAGGAGACGAAGGGGGCTTTGGAGGTTTTTTCGAAGATCTAAGTCTCTGTTTTTGAGAGATTTGGCTTGGGTTTGGGGTTGGACTTTTGTGGTTGTAGAACTAGGAAATGAGATTGAGGGCTCTTTTGAATTGAGATATGGCTTGCTATTAGGACTTCGCAGAGTGCTATACGAATGGTCTCGTAGGAGCTGGTTTAGTATGGAGTGAATGAATGTCAATTTGTGTGACTGCAGTCAGGATGTTACTACTACGCTATAAACCGGTTACTGCATAGTACATGCGATGTCGTCCAACACCGTCAAACGCTCAATTGAACGTCGCCAAATACAGTTACGTTACACGCATAAGTAGACCGTGAATCAGGACTGGACCCCTAATCTATTTCATTTAGGGTTCGTCACAGCTCGGGTCGGTTGAGACGAATTGAGCCATCCAAACGCAGAGGCGCCGCCAATGGGATTGGACACCCATGGTTTACCCGTCCGAGTCTCGTCTGGGGACGCTCGCGACGATGCCGGCTGAGAGGGCACCGGGATCGCATCGTGACTGGATCTAGTGGGCACTGCCGTAGCAGATGACGTTCGCGAGGAAGACTTGGTCGGGCGCAAGACTTTCATAGGGCGAGTCCTGGAAGTCTTACCGGCGGTGGAGGCATTCGAATCTAATATGGTATCGCGTTTCCACGAGCCCCAAACCCCGGCTGGTTCCACCTTCGTCGAGCCGTCCGGCGGTGACTCCGCGACTACAGCTGGCTTGCTCACGCTGGTGGGTTCGGCGTTCCTTGGCAGTTCCTGGGTATCCAAAGATGTCTTTCGACTCTCTTCAGGTTCCTCGGTTGAGTCTCTAGCGGAAGCAGATGCTGACCTGGACTGTCGAGACAGACTCCTAGGTGGGCCTATTACACCGACCGAATGGCCATTGGTGTCTGGTTGAGGGCTAGCTTGAATCGACTGTGTCGTGCCCGTCGTACGTGAGGCATCCGATGCCGTGCGAAGGAACTTAAAAGCCGAGTCGTCTTCGGGACGCACGAGAGGGATCGAGATCTTATTCCGCTCATCGTCGACCATGATAATCTTGTCCTGTGAGAAGAGCAGCTCTGCATTATGGGAACGAAGGATATCACTGCCAAGAACAATCTGAATGGAAGGATCATTGAGATCGATGTCCCGGACAAGGAATCGAACAGTCAGTGCGGGCAGCTGGGGGGCTGGGCTACCGGGCCTGGAAGATGATTGGTGAATGCTAGCTTCGGGCAGATACATTGGGAGCTTGATGAACTGCAAGCCTTCCTCCTGTGTTACCAAGTCCTCGAGACCCAGCTTTTGGATCATGGGATAGCCCAATGAAGACTTGTAGGATCCCGAGCAGACCGCTGCATACAGGAGCGAGTCATTGGAGAAGTTGGTCGTCAACCAGCACCGTATAATGCAGGGTACAGGGCCAAGGAGAAAAAGTCCAGGTGGAGGAATGAGAGGGGAACCACCGACAGAAGAGCCCATCATTCTGCTGGTGGTTTCCAACCCCAGACTGTTGGTACGCGCCGAGTGATGGGAATGTCCCGATGAGCTTAGCCGTCCGTCAGACCGGTGAGACAGAGACCGCTCGGTCAGCGGATGGCTCCCCATGCCACTCCCAGTTCTCAGTGGAAGCTCGCTGGTTGACCGACTAGCTTGTCCATAGTAACTATGGATAGCGCTTTCATCAAACCGAACACTATTCGCTCTGGATGTCCCTCGTCTTCGCTCCTCTTCGCTCTCTATGACCATGGTCCCCCCAGCCCCGTGATGCTGTCCCTGATCGAACCCTTTGAAGGCGTCGGCCGGCGAATGGAAGATAGGCTCTGCAAAAGGAATGAGAGATCAGCTCCTATTCGAAAGCAATCCGAAGACCAAGTGAACACACCTGTGGGTATTGTGCCTGCAACGGACGTAGGAAACGGTGACAGAGGGCCCCAGACGCTTTTCAATCTCGCATCCTCGTCCCTTCGCCGCTCCAGTCTTGCGATTCGCTCCGCCTGCTCGAACTGTGTAGCATGGAGCTCCTTCAGCTCTTCGAAGACGCGCCAGATGTCGTCACGTGAAGCAAAAGGGTACTGAGCATCCATATCCGAACGACTGGACAGGGGTGGCGAACAATGCAACGACCAGGGAAACCAGGACACAAATGAATCAGATCCCAGGAATCAGACACCGTTATGTTTCTCCTCCACACTACTTTTTGGCGTCAGCCGACCAGGCTTACGTAGCTCACGTTATCCTCAATACTCCTCCCTCCTCTGTGAGACGGCCGTACGGCCGTCCACCCGGTTTGCTAAAGATGAATATCTGCAACCTTTGCCAAAACCATATAAACCTAATAGCAGCTTGATGTTGGGGTGTTCTCACTCAACAACGCTGCTGAGTAATGAGACGAAACGAAGGGTCGAAAAAGGGTGTCTTGGTTCGGACGGAAAGAATGCCGAGTTCACGAATGTCGAGAAATATCCAACGAGGTGAGAAGCGACCACCTCAGCTCGTGTTTGGAGGCCGCGAAAATTGTTGAGTCAATGGTAATCAGGGAGCTGTAGTAGGATCGACTGATGGATTTCTAGCAAGGAACACCGAGGAGAGAAATGATCTGCTTTGCAGGAGGAAATGCAAGTTGGATGCTAGGACGGAGGTTCCGGCGCTTTTAAGGGAGACTTGAAACACGAGTGGTTAGATTGCTCAAAGAAGATGCAAGAAATTTCAGGAGACAGAAGAAACAAGTTCGTAAGATCGTGGAGGACAAAAAATTAAGCGCTGTAATTTGAAAGGAAGGGTGATGACGAGGCAAGGAATCTGAATCGAAGGTGAAAGACAAAAGATGAGGGGATGAAATTCAATGCAACGGCCGTCACTTTCTATGTCGGGCTTAGCCTGAGTTTCTTTTTGTCTCCGACGGAGTTTGGACTTGGAGCCGGTTCTAGACCGCTTTTGCGCACATTTTACAAACAGTGCAAGAACAGACACTACAAGTCAACCCAATTGGAGCTTATGCTATACTTAGGTAGTCACTCAACGTCGGAGAATTTACAGGAATTTATTCTTTCCATTACGCATGACCTTCGCGATAGAACGTGGTAAACTACCGATCCGTGCGCACCTCCACCCGTTGCCACTGCATCCATACTGTATCCGTCTCTCTACCTTGGCGCCTCCAGCCATGGGGGGTGAACCATATCCATTGCACTAGGTTCTTCCTCCGGCCACTTCGCTCGAATCGTTTCCATAATCGCATCAAATACTATCCGATACCCATCCGCTGTCAAATGTAGACCTTTTCCATAGGTTAGTATATCAGACACAGAACGCAAACGAAAAGAACAATACAGACCATCAGTGAAAAATCGCGCAAATTGATCCAGGTTTGGCAAATCTCTTGAGCCCGGTAACGGCTCACCCACCTTCCAGCCAACAGCAGACATAAATGCTTTCCAGATATCCACTACAGGGATGTCGAGAGAGGCGCCGACTTCGCGAGCTGCCTCCGCATATTGCTTAGTAAAAGCGGCGGTTCGGCTGGGATGGGCATTTCCCTTGGATTCGTCAAACCCCTGTAGTTGGTATTCATTTATAGGGGGCGGAGTCAGCAGGAGGATATGGGGATTCTGAGCCACTGTTGCAGGATGTTGGATGATCCGAGTCAGATTCTCTTTATACACATCCAATGGGACGTGCTGAGGGCTTCCGGGGAGACATGCGTCGTTGGCTCCAAAGAAGATAGTCTATTCTAGAGTTAATCTTGGCAGGCTACTTCGAATTTCTTGATAAGATTAGCCAGCGTACCATGAACCGCACTGTGGCTTTTTCTGGTGTGGGAAAGAACTTGGGAAAGACTTTGATGGCATGGCCAGAGGTATAACCACTGTAGGGAAACATGCGATTAGTAGAACTGTTATTACACAAGTCAAATGCCCTAGCGCAACGCACCCAAACCCGCGGTTGATCACATCCAGGCGTCGGCTGTAAGCTGTAAATCTTCAGCTGCTGTATGTAGTCGACCGAAAGAGGCGGGAAATACTACTTACCATCCTGCAGGCCTGCAAATAGCCCAAATCCCATGTGGGGGTCACTGGACATCTGGGTAATAGAATCCCCAAAGAGGATGAATTGATCGTATGGCTTGTACAAAGCCTCTTCCTTGGCTGCCATTGCGAAACAGGATTGCCCTAGATTTGCTTCTTTACTTTTTTAAAGTGCTGATAGCTAGTTGGTGTAGAAGAATATGAAGAAGACAGATAGAGGCGTGGGAAGATTAAGTATCATACTACGGAATGATGGAGGGGCTTCGTAGAGATCAAATAGTTCATGACGGTTTGTCTCCGATTCAGAATTCTGGCCACTCAGCGACCGTCAAGAATTGCGGTAGATAAACAGTGGATCTCGTAAAAACAACAACTAATTGCTTCTATCTTAAACGGCCGATTCCTGTCAATTCCAGAAGAATACCCACTTGAGAAACACTGGTTGACCCTTCTTTCTATACGAATTTGAGAAACATAAATGAATAGCATACCATCCGCATGGAAGGCTCAGCACCAGCCATCTACACGCTTCTAGACCGAAAAGGTTTTTCCACCAACAAGCTTGACTCGTGTGTTTATTCAAGTGGGGTCTTTTCGCAATCAGTGGTTCCTCCTCATCCTGATTTGACAAGGGAGAAAGGATGCACAACTACAATGGCCGTGTTCGAAAGGGAAGTTTACCTTCCTCTACCATCGAAGTGCATGGATTAGCCTGCCGCTGGTCCGTAGTCACCATAATTGCTTGCATGGAATATTAAGAAATCAAATTGAAAATTATCCAGCCATAGAATATCTAAACCGGGACAATGGAGCACGCTTAATATTGAACCCATTTCCGCCCCATTGCGTGCACCGCAATAGTGGGCAGCAAACTACAGACAAATATCATGGCACTCGCAACACCTGAACTAGCAGCGACGCCAACGGTTGCAAACATATCGGAGAACCTATTCGGTATCAGCCATGCATCGGCGCGACACTTGTTTGGAACGAATCGAACGACTTACCAGAACGGGCCGAGGAAGCCCCAGATCTGCCGAGCAAAATTAATGAACACCCCCACACTTCCTGCATCGTCTGGGCGGCAGTCGACTGCATATGGGACCATGGCAGCAGTCACGACTTGGTTTCCAAAGGCAGCCACTCCAGTGCCCACGATAGGCGTCACAGTCCAATGCCCCTCGGAGGCCTGCTGAGTACATACCAAACAGACAATAAGGCCCACCATAGTCAAGACAATGCCGGGGTAGCTGAGCCACAGACGGAATTCTGGGTCTGGTGCCTTTCGTATACGCCGTGCTCGGCGATTCACCCAGTAATCGAATATGAAACCACCGATTTGCTCGCCTAGAACTGTGCCAATTATGATTCCAATGAACTGGAGACCAAGTTGTTCAGTATTGAGAGCAAATTTCTCCTGTAGGAGCTGAGGAACCTCGACATTGATCAGAACGCTTCCGAACAAGAACACCATGGCATACGCAACGGCTGGTATTAGGACGCACGGGTGCTTAGCCATGGTCAAAGGGTGAATGAACTCCCATAATGTCAGTGGTGTTGGGTCAATACGTCGAAATGAGAGATACTGAGTTTTGAAGTCAGACGATGAATCCTCTGTACTACCACCAATATAACGGGTCTCTGGCCCAAAGAAGATGTATAGGATGAATTGCACGCCATTGGTGATGGCGGTAACCCAGAATATCCAGCGGTAGCCCGCGCGATTCGCAACAAATCCAAAGATTAATGCACCTGGCGGGTACCTGTTAGCGGAGCCAAACACCAGAGCAATGTAGGTTCGGACTAACCACCTGGTACACCCAAGGTGACCATTAAGGTCCATATTCCCAGATATCGAGCTCTCTCTTTCTTGAAGAATGTCTCTACGACAACGGCACTTCCGATTGCTGCTGCTGGAGAGATGAAAAATGCTGCTAAAGCTCTACATGCAGCCAGCGACGCGTACGTTGGGCTCTTCGCACATCCAACATTGCAAACAAGGCTGAGGATGGTGGATAGCAGAAATATAGGCCGACGACCATACCGGTGGGACAAGGGTCTCCAGAAGAGCGGAGCACCCCCGAGGATAGCAATCTGCAGAGTTGTAAGGTAGCTGGCTCTTTGTACAGATACTCCTAGATCGATGCTAATATCCCCAAAGGCAGGAGCAATCGAGGATGCAAAGGTCGCCATGCAAGCGTGAAAGGCGACAAGTAGGAGGTTGGTTAGTTTCTATGGTAAAAGAGAAGTGATCAGATTAGGCTCGAGCTGTATGCTGAGAAGGGCTTCGTACCTTCCACGTAGGCCAGTTGTATGGGTCTGCGTCTGATGCACTCGGCATGGGGTCCAGGTCCAAGGTGCCATGGCGTTTGAAGAGATATTCACGATGAGATGGAGACAGTGAGTATAAGATGTCATCGAACTGTGATGGGCTGACTTCTGCTTTCTCAATACACTCGCTATCCTCTTTTTCCAGGGAGGAAAGGTCCTTGCTATCTGGTGATGGGATAGATGGGATAGATGGGATAGATAGGACCTCTTCCTGGTCTTCTGTTCTTTTATTTGATGACATGGCATCGGCAAGAAATGAGTATCAACGGAGTCGGCGTCTTAACAGAAATTGTGATTATCTGAAGAACATGACTTAACACTAAGCAAAGACGGGCAGGCGATGAGAGCTGAGTAGCCCTAATCCAGCGGGAGGTAAGGGCTTATAAGGGAGGAGCGGACGGTCCGGCAGAGGGTAGATCGCCACCCCGTTTGTTATGAATAAATCTGGGGTACTCTATAGTTGGCCCCAGTGGAGAGCACCTCCTGGAGTCTCGGGCTGATGGATAGATATCTAGGAAGCCTGGGGATGGAGTCTTTCCAATGTGGGGATTGGTCTAGTCCCCACAACACGTCAATACTAGATTGGGTGCTTCTAGGCTTGTCTCAACGTACAGCTTGGGATCTTGTGGAGAGGTGGCTTGTTCAGCTTTCCGGAATGCTTACGACATAACGATGTTAGTGAGCGCAGGGGGAGCCTGGAGAGAGAAAGCTCTTTCGAGATAAAGCTTTCAGGAAGGCCGATTACATACGATCCAGAGAATGCGGTTGGCTACTACTACTAGTACCAACGTCTATCTTCTGCATATAACAACAACACTACCGGTTACTGTTAAGAACTACGAGGTACATACGGTACAGTTAGTATCTCCGGACTTTTGAGGCTTGTTTACTACTAGTAGTTTGAAGTTTGTGGGGATTGTGGGGTGGCGTTGACTTCCGTAGATCCGTAGACCATGCGAGAATACGAAATGCAGCTCCTTAAAAATACAGTTTCTTTCCATAAGCCACGGCAATATAGAGAGTACGACTTTATAGTTTACCAAAAGAAATTGGCCTTTCTTAGTGTGGGATTACAGTTATAGAACTATACTAGTTATCTACTAGTAGCCCCAGAGCGGGTTGCCATCTTTGCTGCGCCGGCATAATGCTGCTATTAAAAATAGATGATATACTCCCATAGATATCTAGTAAAATGCCAAGCTCTTATCCACAGGATTTATTGTATGGTATATAGTGTGGTAAATCAGTGCATTGAGGGATCATACCTCGGTCTTTCTTACCTTGACCCATAGTACATTCAATCGCAAACCCCAAACAGCGTAACAGCCATGCCGTTCCCTGCAAGCTCATCTCCATACAATAAGGCGCCATAGGCATGTCCACATTCTCAACCTTGGAACTCGCTGTCTGGAATACTTGGGTGGATTGCATGGTGCCTTCTTCCGAGGAGTCCCAAAAGCCGTCCTGGTCAACTACCGCGTATAAAAAAGGCACAGTCACCCGCTCGGCATACGAACGCCAGTAGCTCTGCCAAGTCGTGCGGACATCATGTAGCTCGTCCAGAGGAACCGGCTTATTAAGGTCCTCTGTGTATGGGGCGATTTCTGGGTCGACAAGCCGTTCTTCATTTGCTTTGGGCGGAAAGTTAAGCACCAATGTGTCCTTCACGTTAGGACTGAAATGAACATGCGTTTGTTGCTCGCCTGTTTGGTTCCTGTCACTGTTTCCATGGATATCCCCCTCATTTCTGTGGCTCTTGCACCCGATTCCAAATACGGTCAGCCCGCTCTAAGGGAAAAGGGACTGTATATGCACTAGTAAGAGATTGATTCTCAATGCTACTTTCCTAAAGTAGATACCTTATTGATGCTTAAATCCCTCGTGGGGAGAGGTCATCAGGGCCAGCCAGAAGACTGCATGCATATCTCGTGGAATGTTGAAATATGTATGTAAAGTTTAGTATTGCATGCCGAGAATGCACTTGTATATGTTAGGAATTGAACACACACACACAATGCATGATGATATCATATTTCATTGGCGGTCAACGGCGGAGGGCACAAGGGGATAAAATAAAAGGGCCATTTATTACTAATAGTAATATTGAATCACCATACAAAGGGGGAACACAAGAGATGAAACAAACATACTGTGTACCAGCGAGAGATCCATTCAGTAGGAGACTGTACCATGGAACAACCTTGCTGGTCTAATGATTGAGTCGCGTTCGACGCTTGACATCAGAGTCGCCGATCTTTTCCGTTGGGGAAAGAATGGTGGGGTTAAAGGCAAATTCATGAATGAACATTGGCTGCTCTAATAAAGTTACTCAGTTGAATTTCCATACGCTTTGTTACACGGCGCCTCACGTGTTCTGGGGATGTTCGGGATATACTAACTAGGACTAGTAGAGGTTCAGGTTGTCCGTAATTGCAGCAGCTCTTTCAACACCCCCTTTGAATGATATGGATGCATTTTCCGGGAATGTTTGCTTATTCAGAAAGGATCGTTGATCTGTGGCGGATCTGTGAGTCGGAATTCAGTACAACGACCCTACAGCGTCGGAAGAAACTTGGGAATTTGATTTACCAAATGATGTGCGTTTAGTCCCGTGTTTTGGCTCCATTTATTTATGGGCGGGTCATCTGCCATCGACGCTGTCTTAAAACTATTTATCTTGCGACTATGTCTTGCGTCTCTTCTCTTCCACCACTGCATTCAGGGCTCATATGCTATGAATAGCCCTCCTGCTCCTTGACTGCTTGCTAGATTTCTCCTCAGCCTGACTGCCTTTGTGACTTGACTTCTTTATCGCCCTTTTGTTTGAGACCTCTTGTTGAATCTTAGACCCTCCACGTTTCACCGCTGTTAGCTCGGCTCCAATCTCGGTCAGAACGACTCACCTGAGCCAACAGAGAATCAAAAGACAGCTTGGTCTCCACGGAATCTTGTGTCATATGATATGTTTTGGTATACTCCGTTACTCTGGGTGCCTTGCGGGTGGCTTGTGTTAACCGGGGAATCAGATCACCGCGTTTAACTCCGAAGTACTTACCGCTTCAACATGCCACGCTCTGTACCCTCCAACTTGACCTCCTTTGCCCAGGAAGGCGGTCAAGCTCCTAGCGAAGATGATCGCCAACGATCTCTCTCCCGAACGGCTCCTCCCTCCCCGTCCGCGGTCAGACAACACAGCTATCTCTCGGAAGCACATACTGGTTATCAGTCATTACAACCACCGTTAGAGATTAGCGAAACAACCAGCTTGCTAGGGAAAGATCGAAGAAACAGAGGTGTACAACGGACATATACCAATCTTTCTACAGGCTCCGGGCCCGACGCCAACTTTCGACATAACTTGTTGGCTGGGAGCATCCGCCGATCACGCCATCACAGCCGTGCTAACTCCCAGGCCTTGCGAGTCAGCCGGCGGGAAAGTATAGATGCTGATCAAGCTGAGAGCCTTGCTGCATCGGCCAAAGATGGCCTGAACGCTTCATTTATGGATGATCGAACTTGGTATGATCAATTTACCTCTACCGACTGGGTACATGATAGTATTGCGGATGGCGAGCGCCTTCGACAGTTGCGGGCGCGGAGAGATCTCCGGGGTCGACTCCTAGCATGGTTCGATGGTGCTCAGGGCTGGGTTCTCGTCGCACTAATCGGCTGCATCACAGCGGCGATCGCCTATTTCGTGGACGTAACCGAAGACTTTGTGTATGATCTCAAAGAAGGGTTTTGTACCACGCGATGGTTCCATAGCCGCCAACAATGTTGTGTGGACAATCCTGAGTGCTCTGCATGGTGGTCATGGTCCAAGATGCTAACCTTCTCAAGCACGGAAAATCAGTGGACGGACTTTGGCATGTACGTAGCCTGGGTAGTTATCCTGTCTGTCGTCTCTTGCTTTCTCACGTTGCTCACGAAGACGGTCGTTCCTTCGTCGGTCTCTCTAACGACTTTGGATGAAAATTTGGGTGCAGCTTCGTCGCACGGCACGAAACGTACGGATGCAACTACTGATTCCCCAAGCTCCGATACTAGCCCGCGAGCGCCTTACTCGGCGATTCCCACACGTCCTGATATGATTTTTTATTCTGCAGCGGGCAGCGGGGTTGCTGAAGTGAAAGTCATCAACAGCGGTTTCGTCTTGCATGGATATCTGGGTTTCAAAACGCTGGTCATCAAGACCATTGCTTTGATTTTCAGTGTCTCATCTGGCCTAAGCTTAGGCAAGGAGGGCCCGTATGTCCACATCGCTACCTGCGTGGGAAACATCTGCTGTCGCTTATTCGCCAAATACAATCGCAATGATGGGAAAAGAAGAGAGGTGCTAAGCGCAAGCGCTGCGAGTGGTGTTGCAGTAGCTTTCGGTGCCCCCATTGGTGGTGTTCTCTTTAGTCTTGAGGAAGTCAGCTACTATTTCCCTCCGAAGACACTCTTTAGGACATTCTTCTGCTGTATTGCTGCAGCACTCTCCCTGAAATTCCTCAATCCTTATGGAACGGGTAAGATCGTCCTGTTCGAGGTTCGGTATTTCAACGATTGGGAGATCTTTGAGTTAGTGATATTCGTTATTTTGGGTGTACTTGGGGGCGCTCTTGGGGCCCTTTTCATCAAGGCATCAAGTTTATGGGCTCGCTCATTCCGCCGAATCCCCGTTATCAAGCGTTGGCCTATGCTGGAGGTAGTCCTTGTCGCGCTGGTGACTGGCCTTGTCAGCTTCTGGAATCGCTATACTAAATTGGCCGTATCCGAACTTCTGTTCGAGCTGGCCAGTCCTTGCGATCATGAGTCCTCATCGCCAACCGGACTGTGTCCAAACGAAGATGGCATTGGCGAAATTATCCGCTACCTTCTTGTAGCATTCGTCATCAAAAGCCTGTTGACGGTAGTTACATTCGGCATTAAAGTGCCAGCGGGCATTTATGTCCCGTCCATGGTTGTTGGTGGTCTCTTGGGACGGATCGTTGGTCATGTGGCACAATATCTCGTGGTGAAATACCCAACGTTCCCCTTGTTTGGGTCCTCCTGCCCAGCTGTGTCGGGGATGGAATCGTGTGTGACCCCAGGAGTGTATGCGATGATTGCCGCAGGGGCGACCATGTGTGGTGTCACCCGCTTGTCAGTTACATTGGCCGTCATTCTCTTTGAACTGACCGGTAGTCTGACCCATGTCCTTCCGTTTTCCCTGGCCATCCTTTGTGCCAAATGGACTGCCGATGCGATCGAGCCCCGCAGCATCTATGTAAGCACCGACTGAACCTCGAGGTACTCCGCTACTGGACTATATGCTGACTTGGACAGGATCTCTTGACTGATATGAACTCGTACCCGTTCCTTGATAACAAGATACAGGTCGTATCAGACGCAGAGCTCGGAGACCTCGTGAGACCTGTACGCAGGAGTCGCATCATTGATATCTCAGACTCTCCGTTCGTACCAGCTACAGAGTTGCGTTCCAAACTTCAAACTCTTCTCATGGCAGGAGAGTTAGATAGTGGCCTCCCTATCTTACGCCACGATGTCTTGTCTGGCCTGATCCCAGCCCCGGACCTCGAATATGCGCTGGACAATCTCGAGGACGAAGAAAACACGTTATGTCTGATGACGCTAGATACGATGTCGGTTGTGTCCGACAGTGATGATGAAGAGCTCATTCGAGTGGACTTTAACCGCTATATTGATCCGGTATGTGGATAGGAATCTCCATATCTCCTCACAAGCTGACGCATCTATAGGCCCCTATGTCTCTTGATATCCATTCACCTCTAGACCTTGTTTACCAGTGTTTCGCTAAGCTAGGACTACGATACCTGTGCGTCCTTCAAAACGGGCAGTACGCAGGTCTGGTCCATAAGAAGGCTTTCGTGAAGTTCATGAAGGAGAATGAGTGATTCTCTTTACGCATATCGACCTGCTTCCTGTAAATGAGAATACCGCCGTATACATATTGTCAATGACTTCCAAACATTGTTCGGCGTTATGTTTCGGTAACTGCACGCATTCCTGGTCGCCTGTAGCATCTTTTCTTATTTCGCATATATCTTCGGCTTGAGCATTACGCACATACTGATCTGACTATAAACTGTATTCTTCTTAGCACTGTTTTTACTACCAAGTGTATATCAGCGGAGGTTGCCTATATGTTTTATTGTGCTCAGCGGGGTTCAAGACTTCTTTTTGTTAACATGTCTTCATTAGCAAGCGCCTCTTTGACTGCAGATGCCTATCATTGAACTTCAAACGGGGCAGACGCGCCGTAAATAGATTATCATTGCACAAAGCAATCGAATGCTATCGTTATTTACAAGAGAAAGAGAGGCTAAACTATACACAGTGCCCGCAACTTCAATAGATCCGTTCATATCCCACCATCTGAATTCGAACCTCGCCTTCATCTTTCCATTCCCCCGAGACAGGCTCACCCACCCACTCGGTCACTTCCTCCGCACTCACCTTCTTCCACCCCTTCTCCATGAGCAGCTCCTCATCAACCGGAAAGAACGTATCACACTCAAACTGTGCTTTCTCCCCATCCACCCCCTTCTTCTCAACATTCGTCATGACAATCCTAACTGGTCGATCACCTCCCAACCTCAAAGCCGCCGCATAAATCTCCGCACCCCCAATCACAAAGACATTCCCCAAACCCCCCTTAAACTTCTCCTCCACGTCCTCAAGCGCCCCCTCCAACCCAGAGCTAACAATCGCATCCGTAACCGGCCCCTCCTCCTTATTCTCTCCAGCAGAAGTAGCCGCAGTAGCAGCAGCGGCGGCGGCCATCTTCGCCCTCTTCCCTTCCAACTCCTCCGAGACGCGTTTACTCACACCCGCCACATCCCGCGTGACAACAACATTAATCCGCTTCCCCAGCGGCCGCAAACTCTTAGGCACGGAATCGTAGGTCTTCCGACCCATGATCATGGCATTTGTTGTCCCTGGGCGCGGGGGACGAGATGTCACGCGCGCGAAGAAGCTCATATCGGCTTTTATGCGAGGCCAGGGAAGTGTTCCATTCAGTCCAATTCCGAGGAGGGTTTTTTCGCGCGTAGGAATCGGTGTCGTCGCGACTATTAGGGTGAGGGGGTTTGTTGGTGGCATTTTGGTTGGCTTGGTGGGGGTGGTGAGGGGTTGGTAGCTTCTTTTTTTTCTTGCAAGGGTGGTGTTGATTGGGAGGTTGGACTTTTTTGTTAAGGGAGGTGATGAGGGGATTTGGTTGCCGTAGGATTATGTCGTTATGTTTAGAGGTAGGTCATAGAGTCAGTCGTTGTTCAGATGTATAAAGTTGGAGCTGAGCCTCTTGGTGCACGCTTGCCTTATCGGGACATTTTTGGGTGGAGTCAGGTACCGCGACATTGACCGCCTGCTGCTGTTGGAGGTGTAGGTCTGTGTTGGAAGGCGGTCTTGAATGGGTTGGTTTCGGTCCCCGACCGGGGACAAGGGCTTTTTTTGGTGCATTTTGAGATAATAATATCTCCATTTTACTAGCCTAGTTCGGTCTAAAAATAAGCTGAGATAATGGTTATATAGTAAGCTAGTTACTGGAGTTTTTTTGTACGAAAATAATTGGTTAGTATGGTGTAGGAACCTTGAGGACCTAGCACCCTTGAAGATACACTATCTGGTGGTGCAACTGATGGTGTGTTCAATTTATTCTGCCAGGCAATGAACTGTTCACTATCTTATCGCTCCACTATCAATCGATACAAACTACATTATTTCTCAGACTGTTTTTCACTATCAACCGGCATTCTTGAATAATGGCATGTGAACTGACTGCAAGAGACTTGCCTACTCTTGCCACTACGTTAGTTTGTGAAATTTGAATCTGACTGATCTACTCATGTCGTATAGCGGAGCGCTTATTTATATACTTTTACAGTAGCCTGTGGAAATATATGTTACTCATGGCTAGAGATTCCCAGTACTAATTGAAGAGATATTGAAGTTAGGGACTTCCAATGATCTTCCAATGCATGAAAGATACGAATTGGTAAGGCTTATGCAACCTATGGCAAGAATAAACGCAGAACTTGGGAAGGAATATATCTAAAGTACATTGTAACCTGGATACTGCACCCTCCATACATCTCCATATATGAAAGGATGGAGGAAGAGAAGAAGAATCGAAACAACAATTTCTCTAACAACCGCCAAAGCAACACCCCCAACTAAAGATCCTTCTTACCCCCCGAGATACATTTATCTCCCTTGGCAAACTTTTCATCCCAAGTCGCAGGCCCGCAGTAGTACTCGTCATCCCAGGTGGCCTTGCGCCCGATAAGGAGCGATCCACGCCAGGTACCACCGTGAGACAACCGGAAGCACTCCTGCTCACAGATCCAATACGCCCTATCCCTCATGGTCTTTCTGATGGCGCCTTGAATGGTCTCGAGCGAGGCATCGGTATCGCACAAATAGCCCTCAGTATGGGACGTGAAGCACCACTTGAAGTCCTCAGTCTCGTCGCATTCTTTCGTGCATACGTTGCCGTCCGACAGTTCCTTGATCTTGGCTGCCATGGGGTGGAGCCATGCGTCTATGGCTGCTTCGCCGTTGCTGTAAGTGCAGTATGGATATTCGCCGATCCACCGAATAGGGCACATTGTGATGGGGTACTCCCGCCGTCTCTCGAGGTCTCGTATTGCGAGACTGCTTTCGGTTATGTTAAGATCGGTCTTATACTCGAGTCCCTGCTGTGGTGAGGGCAGAGATGCGGCAAGGGCCAGAGCTGCTTGCCAGAAGGCGAGCGTGAAGAGGATACTTTGAGTGAATAACATGGTTAAAGAGGTGGTTATTGATGATGACGGGAAGAAGAAACAAATTCTCTGACGAGCTGGATGAGTAGATTTAGATATCCCCTAGATAATGATTCCAGTAGGAACGACAGGTAATCGCCCCCTTATCATACTGTAGACTGTGCCTAACTTTATAATACTGCCTCCTTTGTTCTTGCGATAGGGCTTAGGGTAGCAATACCAAGAATATTGTTTCTTGGGAGACGGATAGACCTGAGTTAAAAAGGTTTTTTGCTTTGGCCCTGTTGCCCGACGCCCCGTACTAGTATGGCCATATATTACACTGGACTAATGTGCTCTGTTATAATTACGAAAGTATGAGTGGCACCGTGCCTTGTCAAGAGCCCTAGACCCTAAAATATCAGTTTCCCAACGAGACGAGAGATTTCGTGATATAATACCTTAGGGTCTGTTTCCATATAAAGCACGCTCCACTTCACTGAAGCCGTCTACATATCACGGAGGGTCCACAGTCATAAAGAGGAGAACAAAGGAAACAAGGCGGGGAAGTAGAGATAAAGTGGTATATATATAATTGTGAACAAATTTCATGTTCGACAATAGTAGCTTGCCGGTGAATTGACAGCCCTGGAGGAGTGAACACAAGGAAGATATGACTCTTGTGCCAAAATAAAAGAAAGAAAATGAAAAAAGAGGAAGAAAGAGATAAAGAACTAATATGAAGTTGAAATTGTAGTGATGGGTATCTACAATACAAACAATAATGTACAAGAGAAATAGTAAGCCCCTCCCAGACGCCAATAGTGCAATATCTATGAAATCATGCGGGAACCAAAGCACAGAATAACACCAGAACTCACATGTCATAAAAAGATCATTTAGCCGGCTTCAGCAAGCCACCTTCCTCGATGGCCTTCTGGATAGCATCTGCATCCCTCTCTAGCTCCTCTCGGCGCTTCACATCCGATTCGTCCTCGCCAAGAGTGTTGAGCTTTCCAAAGAGCCAGGTTTCTTTCATTGTACGGGTTAAAGAGAGAATATCTTCGGCGGCGCGGACCTGGGGTTGATCGAGTTAGTGACAAAAACTAGTGCTGCCAAAGTCTGCATGAGGTAAGTATATGGATGTACGTATGCATACCAAAGCAGTCGATTCAACGTCAAGTTGGTATGTTTCCACTGCTGTTGAAGTATGGCTAGTACTCTCGACCTGTTTGTTATTGGCGTCAGTTCAGATAATAATTATACTGCAAAAAGGAGACAGACAGTTGCTGTTGCCATTATATTCTCGAATCTTTGAAGTAATTGGGAGATATTGGTGTTGATGCGATCTGCGGAGTATGTTGATTAGAAATGCGGATGGTGAATGAACAACGATGGTTCATATATGTGAAGTTTGTGTTATGGGTTACGCACAATGCAATGCCTTGGACGTTGGTTGAGAGTCCATTTTTACTTTCTTTAGACAAGTTATTCAATGATGATGTTTTTGTTAGTAGATAAATGTTGGAGTGATAACTGATAGAGATAATTGCTATCTGCGATGAAGGCGGCTTGGCTGGCGGTAGAGATTATTGCCGACATTATTGTATCCGTTGATCACTACTTAATTAAGTACTACACGTAGATCATGCTTGGCTTGGCTATAGCGCTTCGAATATGAGCTGAGGATACTCCGTACAACGATATTGACTCATAATTACATTTCCATTCGATATGGATTTGTAGTAGTGCTTGCAGCTTCAATGTACATTAGCTGTAAAGGTAGTCTGGCTCTGAACTATGGCCAGTAGTTGAGCAGGAAAATGACATCTGGTAAACCATGAAAACGATGCAAACTATGAATTATCCCAGTGACATTGATGGTGCCATACAATGATTCTCATGGAATTGGCTCCAGTAATAGAGCGCTTGAATCATTGCACTCCAATCTTAGTGCGACAACCTTGCCCACTGTATCCCAACTGTCCCAGATAAGCCTCCCACACAGATAGAGAGCTCTGCCTGATATACGAGCTGGTATGTGAGAGCAGCATATGGCGTAGGTATCGACTTGGCGCCAGGAAATTGTATCATGACAGTTCACCAAGCCATCGAAATGTCGTTGAGCCATTTTTGTATTTGCATCAATGACATCATATTGCGATGGTGTATCCAATTTTTAGTTTGGATGGACCGCAGTAGGCTTTGAGTGCCAGTAGCCACTTATCTGACGTACTTGCCCTACACGGATGTGTTAGTAGAAACATCAAAGTTATATGACCAGGCGTAACCTACCATAAACCTCTTGTGGAAGTCCGACCGCAGCAGATCCTGCATGTAATTAGCGACAAATAAACATAACCACACTGGAGGAGCTTACGTTGACAAACTCCTTTCCTCTCTTATCTTCGGTTCCCCTGGCTTGGTTCTTGAAAACCACGTCGTCATCCCAGCGCCGTTTCAAGTTAAAGTCCTGAGCGTTAAGCAGCGGGTTTCCTTTAGCAATATCATATTCCCGTTTCTCTTCCTCTTCAGCAGCACGTTCGCGCTCTTCTTTCTCCTTCTGTTCTTGTCGCTCCTTCTTGATCTTTTCCAGTTCTCGCATCAACTCGGCGGCCTCATCTTCTTCATCATCACTAAAGATCTATCAGCATAGTTGACTTGCTTGCGTATTGGAGTGACAAACCTTTCTTCTTCACTACTGTCATCCTCTGACCCATCCGAATCCGCATCTATGTCCCGCGTCTCCTCTAGTATTCGCCGCCGTTTGGCTTCCGGATCTTCGTCCTCTGTCCCAGCTGGATCACCACCAGATGAACCGCCTTCTATTTGGCGTTTGGGTGCTGTGTTACCAACAGTTGGTTCATCCACGGGGATACCCCTCTTCTTCGCAAAATGAGCGGCTTCGGCTTGGAGCAATTCGGCGCGCAAATCGCGTTGTTGAGCTTCGCCTTCACCACCCTGACCGAGTTGACTTGAACATATTAGAGGTGATCACACCCACAGTATAGAACCGACTCACCGAGTTTTCAAGTGCGTATGTGCTGGGAGCAGTCGCTGGTGGTATGCAGGGCCACGCAAGGCCTCTTTCCCTTGTGCCTGTTCTCCGTGAGTCTATGGATAAGTATTCCCAGATAGAAGTGGACGCGTACCGGATCGAATGTGGGTCTGTGTGCTATATGTGCATTAGCGCAATGTCTTCGCGATATTCTTTTCTTAAGGTTTTCTCACCTGTAGTCATGGTGGGCTACAGAATCTGGGCTTTGGAAATTTCCGATGGTTGTTCAAGGTTGAATGACCGCCGAAGCACCGCTCCGCGGACTGCCTCAGGTTGGAAGCTGAATCAGCAAGTGCACACCGCTTTTGGAGTACGCTACATATGATTGGGTTATAATGATCGACATCCTGAGGAACAACTTTGGCCCGCTCATCAATGACGCTGTGGAGTGCAGGAAATTTCTATAGAAAGTCCGTCTTGCTGACCCCGCTGGGGCCGAGTCCGCCTCCGCAACCATGAACAAAGAAGCACCGCTCTCAATTGCCGAGCGCGACTTCATCCTCAATGCTCTACGTGAGGATGTAAGACTGGATGGCCGTCAGGCGGATCAATTTCGTCCCTTGAATGTGTCGTTCGGCGAAGAGTACGGGCATGTGAAGGTCCAACTTGGCAAGACCAGGTGAGTTAGTGCTGCTCGAGGTCAATTATTTGAGATAGACGTTAATCTCAACTTACAGCCTCATTGTTCGCATCTCGTCTGAAGTTACGAAACCCCATGATGACCGTCCCTTCGATGGTATCTTTACCATTACCCTGGAGCTGACCGCTATGGGCTCTCCCGCTTGGGAGAATGGCCGGTACGTTTATCTCCAACTCGCAATGTCGGCAGCGATGTAGCTAATACAGCCTGGGACAATAGACAGGGCGACCTTGAGACATATGTGTCCAACGTCTTAGACAGGGTGATTCGTCATTCGAACGCCCTTGATACTGAATCGCTTTGCGTTTTGAAGGGTGTCAGTTGCTGGAATGTTCGGGCAGACGTGCACATCACAGACTACGATGGCAACCTGATTGATGCAGCCTGTATTGGAGTTATGGCGGGTCTTCAGCATTTCCGTCGGCCTGATGCCGTCGTTAAGGACGGTCAAGTGATCGTCTACGGAGTCGACGAGCGCGTCCCAGTCGCATTGAATATCACACACAAACCATTGTCGATCACATTCCATACTTATGATGAAGGAAAGCGGGTCATTGTGGATGCCACTCGGAAAGAGGAGCAGGCCTCTGAGGCGGACGTGGTCATGGGCCTGAATAATGCAGGCGATGTCTGCTACCTCTCGAAGTTCTCTGGGTCTCCAGTCAGTGCCATGGTGTTTGTGAACAAGTCATCTGTTGCACTTGAGAAGGTGAAGGAGATCAACGGCATCATTGACAAGGCGCTACAAGCTGACCTCTCTAAACGGGCTAAGGGTGGCTTGATGGAGGAGTCTAGAGCGGCGAACGATCGGTAGACATGTGCCATAACATTCGTCTATTTTTTCCCCCCCAATTGGAGTCAAAGTGCTCAATACGCTTAGGATTTGTTGTATCATAGATATCAATAACGGAGTCTATTTTGTGTGTTCTCGGCATTTGTCCTCTCAAATAATGAACAAAGACCGTACTACCTAGACAGTAACCTGTCTTTTTGGGCTTCTTTCTTGTTCTTCCCTCCTTTTTGCCTCCTTGAATACATGCGTTCTACACCGTAGATAGGGTACTTGGAGTTGCGGCCAGGCAGCAATCACTAGTGGGACTGTATTTTCCATCTGGTTTCAAGTGAAATTGGACCCACGGTGGAGAGAAATATGTCAGATTTAATTTAAATATGCAAACACAACACTCGGCATTCTCGGACGTTCTAGAGCTGGTTCGGCGTTACATCTCCAGGCACCTCTCAGTTCACCGGGTATATTTACATCGGAGACTCTACACGAGTCACCAAGCATTCCTCAAGAGATGTCCAAACGTCATGCGTTATGGTAATTGTGACTAAAATAGCTGTGTAGAGAGGGCTTAATGCTTGTTGGGGTGTATCAAGAAATTAAGGTCGGTTATATCGGTTCCAGTGTAGGGAGGGCTGAGAAAGACTCAGGAGACAGCATAGAAGAATTAACAGACCTGGAAAGGTTTGTTCGGGATACAAGTCAACTTATTTAAAGATTCTTTTAAATGATGTATAAAACATGACAAAGCGCGATGTTCGTTGTACTTGGCCAAGTTTCAAGTATTTCGGGATATAACGAAGAATCTGTCTCAAGAGGCAGATGTCAGCTTAATGAAGAATAACTAGTGGTAGCTTGGGATGGCGGAGTGGGGAGCGAGACGCGCATTGTCGAGGCGCAGGGACGCTTAACATGGATTTATTTTTAAAACCATTGGCGAGACAAGAACGAATTAATTTCCTTAATTTCTCTTACTGGTTTTTAATTACCTATTTTTAATAATCAAGCATCGAACTGACAGGAAGGAATTAATCCATACCAAGTCAAAATAACTCAGGGACTAATTTCATATTTAGGTACTAGTACTTAGTAGTATTACTGACGAGGGATGATCCCCAAAAATAAAGAAAAAGGGAAAAACCCCCAGCCACTGACGGAGATCCAAAACAACACCGCCCAAAGACTAGCGTGAAGCCGCATCCCAACGAATAATAAACCTTCTTCCAGGCAGTCGTCAGATTTCCTTCTCCATTCTGTCACCTTCGGTTTCCCATGCTTATTGCTTTTTCTCTGCCACTCCCCTTGCGCAATTCAAAATATCGCGGCCTATAGTCGTTCCATACGTGCATCGTCTCGCTCCTTTTCCTTCCCTTCTTCACTGTCGATCAATGCTCCAGGGGCATAACGTTGCTCTGACGGTGTCTACCCGCCTCGAGCATCATGGCCAGCGGTAGACCTCCCGGTCACCACCCAGCCGCTGGCCGCGATGACGACCTGCTGCAGCTGGAGGACACGACCCCTATGTATAATTCTGGACAGCGCCCGCCCGTCAACGACGACCATCTGCTGGAACAGTACAATATCGATGACTCCGATTACCCCCAGGCGCGACCTTCAATTTCCTATGACCAGTTTGTCGGTGGACAGGCGCCGCCACACTCCGGTGCCCATGCGACAGTCTCCGCGCATCCTCCGCCGCACTCCGGGGCGTACATAAGCGATCCTTACCTGGGGGCCGCCAATGTATCTCGAACCTATTCCCAAACCTCCGGCTTGGACAACTACCGGCGCTACTCCGTCGACGAATACGATGATGGGTACTATCAAGTGGATGATCATGATGATTATATGCAGTCTGAACATCGCGTACAGGAGGCGAATCAACGGAATAGCATACTGGGCTTGGGAGGCGGGCTAATGGGAAGAGCAAAGCACATGCTGGGCATGGGTCAGGAATACTCGGACATGAACCTTCCTCTCACGGAGGCCGGTGCAAGGGCGGCACGAGTTGACAGCACCGAACACGCCGAGGGCGGCATTCCCCCAAGTCAGAAAAAGTCGAGGAAGTCGGATTTCAAGTTTGGGTTCGGGCGGAAGAAGGCCGACCCTTCGACTCTTGGACCTCGCATGATCGTGCTGAATAACCCGCCGGCCAATGCGGTGCATAAGTTCGTCGACAACCACGTCTCTACAGCGAAGTATAACATCATCACCTTTATTCCGAAGTTCTTATACGAACAGTTCTCGAAATACGCCAATCTGTTTTTCTTGTTCACCGCTGTCCTCCAGCAAATTCCAAACGTGTCGCCGACAAATCGTTACACCACAATTGGTCCCTTGTTGATCGTGTTGTTAGTCTCTGCTATCAAGGAACTTGTAGAAGACTATAAACGACGCTCATCTGACAAGTCTCTCAATTACTCGAAGACTCAAGTTCTGAAAGGATCAGCATTCCACGAAACGAAATGGATCGACGTTGCGGTAGGAGATATCGTTCGTGTTGAGTCAGAGCAGCCCTTTCCCGCCGATTTGGTTTTGTTGGCGTCTTCTGAACCTGAGGGCTTGTGCTACATCGAAACCGCCAATTTAGATGGAGAGACCAACTTAAAGATTAAGCAGGCAATTCCGGAGACTGCACATTTGGTGAGCCCCGCTGATCTTAGCCGGCTGAGTGGCCGGGTTCGATCGGAGCAACCGAACAGCAGTCTTTACACCTATGAGGCTACCCTGACGATGCATGCGGGAGGAGGGGAAAAGGAACTCCCTCTAGCACCGGACCAGCTTCTTCTTCGAGGAGCTACCCTGCGAAACACGCCGTGGGTTCACGGTATTGTCGTCTTCACTGGCCATGAGACGAAGCTGATGCGAAATGCGACGGCGACTCCGATCAAGCGGACGGCCGTAGAGCGCATGGTCAACATTCAGATCTTGATGTTGGTCAGCATTCTAATCGCTCTTAGTGTTATCAGCTCTGTTGGCGATCTTATTATCCGACAAACCGCAGCCGACAAACTCACCTACCTTGACTATGGCAGTACGAACGCAGTAAAGCAATTCTTCCTCGATATTTTTACCTATTGGGTTCTTTATTCCAATCTTGTCCCAATCTCACTCTTTGTGACAATTGAAATCGTCAAATACGCCCAGGCGTTCCTCATCAATTCTGACCTCGATATCTATTACGAAAAAACAGACACTCCGGCAACCTGTAGAACGTCGTCCTTAGTCGAAGAACTTGGGCAGATAGAATACATCTTTTCAGATAAGACAGGAACCTTGACTTGCAACATGATGGAGTTCAAGCAGTGTACAATTGGCGGCGTCCAATACGGTGAAGATATCTCCGAAGATCGACGAGCCACTGTGGAAGACGGAGTGGAAGTCGGGGTACATGACTTCAAAACGCTCAGGGGGAACCTACAAGGAGGTCATCCGACAGCAGATGCGATTCATCACTTTCTCACACTTCTCTCTACTTGCCACACTGTTATCCCTGAAAGATCTGAAAAGGAACCTGACAAAATCAAGTACCAGGCAGCCTCTCCTGACGAGGGCGCTCTTGTTGAAGGTGCTGCGACGTTGGGCTACCAATTCACAAATCGGAGACCTCGCTCTGTGCTTGTCACAGTCGGGGGCCATGAGTATGAATATGAGCTGCTGGCTGTCTGTGAGTTTAATTCGACGCGTAAACGAATGTCAACGATTTTCAGGTGTCCAGATGGGAAGATCCGAATCTACACCAAAGGTGCAGACACCGTCATCCTTGAGCGACTTAATTCCGACAATCCCATTGTGGAGGCGACTTTGCAGCACCTGGAAGAATATGCTTCGGAAGGTCTCCGGACTCTTTGTTTGGCGATGCGTGAAGTTTCCGAGGAAGAATTCCAACAGTGGTACCAGATATACGATAAGGCCGCAACAACTGTTGGTGGAAACCGTGCAGACGAGCTCGACAAGGCTTCGGAGCTTATCGAGAAAGACTTTTACCTTCTTGGAGCTACCGCTATCGAAGATCGACTGCAGGATGGAGTTCCCGACACTATCCATACGCTACAGACTGCGGGAATCAAGGTCTGGGTTTTGACTGGTGATCGACAGGAGACTGCTATCAATATTGGAATGTCATGCAAGCTGATATCGGAGGACATGACGCTACTGATTGTTAATGAAGAGTCTTCTCAGGCCACCCGAGAAAACCTAACCAAGAAGCTGCAGGCCGTTCAGAGCCAGAACGCTTCGGGTGAAATTGAAGCGTTAGCTTTGGTTATTGACGGACGCTCTCTGACATTTGCGTTGGAGAAGGACATGGAAAAACTCTTCCTGGACCTTGCTATTCAATGTAAAGCCGTAGTCTGCTGGTAAGTTGTCATAGTCTGCTTCTATTAGAAGGTCTAATGCTGATGGCTCCTAGCCGTGTTTCTCCTTTACAGAAGGCCTTGGTAGTCAAATTGGTCAAGCGTCACCTCAAATCCTTACTTCTCGCTATCGGTGACGGTGCGAATGACGTGTCCATGATTCAAGCCGCACATGTTGGTGTTGGTATTAGTGGTCTTGAAGGTCTCCAAGCCGCTCGGTCTGCCGATGTGTCTATTGCCCAGTTCCGTTATCTCCGCAAACTCCTCCTTGTTCATGGGGCGTGGAGTTACCACAGAATTAGTCGTGTCATTCTGTATTCTTTCTACAAGAATATCGCCCTTTACATGACACAGTTCTGGGTAAGTGATGTCTTGACCTCTCATCCACTGATTTCCCTGAATGCAACTGACAGAGACATAGTACTCCTTCCAAAATGCGTTCTCCGGCGAAGTTATCTACGAGTCATGGACCTTGTCCTTCTACAACGTCTTTTTCACAGTGCTCCCTCCCTTCGCGATGGGTATCTGTGATCAGTTCATCTCTGCTCGATTATTGGACCGGTATCCTCAGCTGTACCAGCTTGGACAGAAAGGGATGTTCTTCAAAAGACACAGCTTCTGGTCATGGATCTTAAATGGTTTCTACCATTCCTTGCTACTATACCTCGTCTCGGAGTTGATTTTCCTCTGGGATCTTCCGCAGGTAGATGGCAAGGTTGCTGGCCATTGGGTATGGGGATCGGCCCTGTACACGGCAGTCCTTGCCACGGTCCTTGGGAAAGCGGCACTGATCACCAACATTTGGACCAAATACACGTTCATCGCTATTCCTGGATCAATGGTTATCTGGCTAGCGTTTCTTCCAGCGTATGGTTATGCCGCACCCGCTATCGGCTTCTCCACAGAGTACTACGGCACCATTCCCCATCTCTTCAAGTCACCTATCTTCTATCTCATGGCTATCATCCTCCCCTGTGTCTGTCTTCTTCGGGACTACGCCTGGAAATACGCCAAGCGAATGTATTACCCGCAACATTATCACCACGTCCAAGAGATACAGAAGTATAATGTACAAGACTACCGCCCGCGCATGGAACAGTTCCAGAAGGCAATCCGCAAAGTGCGCCAGGTTCAGCGTATGCGCAAACAACGCGGCTATGCTTTCAGTCAGGCTGATGATGGCGCCCAAATGAGAGTCGTCAATGCTTATGATACCACGAGAGGAAGAGGGCGCTACGGTGAAATGACCAGTTCCAGAGCCTTAGTATAACGATCTGATTTTTTGTTTTTCTACCTTCATTCCTGTTCATCGCATCCATGTATTAGTTGCATTTACGGCGGTCTGATGACCCGCCTCCCTTTATCGCTCTCTATCTACCTCTCTCTTGCTAACCCTATCATTCATCTTCTTATCTTTCATTTTTGGGCTATATTACACGATGGTCCTACTCTTTGCTTTTTAACTATTTATGGTTCCCCTTCCTATCTTCTCTATGAGTCAATGTGAAAATCCTGAATTTTGTGATATCAATTTCTTCGGCTACATCACTTTGTTGATGTTTTTCTTGAACATGGATGACTTGTGATGTCTAGATAGGTTAACAGACATGGGTGATGCATTGCCCATCTTGTGTCGAGATTTGGTTTTATGCAAGTAAACCTGTATAAGTGCGTCCAACTCCATATCATAAGATCGTCTACTGTCGGTCTCTGTGGTAGACGATCAGTCTGATCCGACACTATTCAAAAGGTGACAGTGCCTAGGCTTACAGAACAGATACCAAAGTATGTAATAATAAAAAAAAGATCTTCCCCAAATACCAGTATAGATATACCCGAAAAGCCTTCTCAGCCATTACATATTCGCGATTATTCACTATTGAGACGAGTAGCCTGTAGATGTGTATGCTGTACTCAAGATCATAACTATTCATATCTGCCGGCAGTGGCTCAGGTTAGAGGAACTCAGCTGTATGCAGAAGATGTTTACAGGCAATAGTGACTCTAATAGCACAAGGACGAGAGGTTTTCCTGGAAACCTGGACGTGCCAATTTGATATACACCATCTTCCGTTGCAGATTTCCAATCAATCCCTTCTTCTTCTTCTTCTTCTTCTTGTGGTGTTTGGTCTAGTGCGTATACTCACTTAGTATATAGCGTCGGGTACTATAGGAGGTAACGATATATAGAAACTCACAACAGAAGAACGTTAAAGAACATCATATAAGTAATATCTAGTCATATATATAACTTCATAGAAACCGGCTCTTCAACTTCCCTCGACGTAAAACAACAATGATATATAGACACACCCCGTCCCTCCACGAGCGGTAATAAGCTTCTTTCTTCCAGTTCCACATTGTCCCCAAGCACTTCCTCTTCAAGCCCTCCTTCGCCTGGTTCCCCTCTCGACTCTTCCACAGGTACAACCTTAGCTTGCTTGCCTGAAGCGCCAGAGATGACAACCTCCCCCCACATCAACGGCTTCAGGGCTGCATCCTCATCACCCAACGGAGGATGACAGGCAGCGCTGATCGCCAGACTACAGTTTCCGGCAAGAGGCATTCGAGGCGGGAACCGTTTGAACGCTAGTCCCGCTAGTATAACCAGCGCCAAGCCTGCGAGTGAAAGGGTGAATATCATTGCGATGGGCGATATACCGCAGGTGGATATTGTATTGGTTTCATCTAGAGTCCCGGCTGCGTCGTATTGATAGATTCGAACATAGAATATGCTCTCTGACAGGAGCCAGTGCAGTATAGCTGAGATCGCCATGGTGGGGATGCTGAATGCATATGGCAGACTGAGGAAATACGTGGAGCGTTGTTGGCCCTCCGGCCAGGATACTCGGAGATATTGTCGACGCACCGAGTAGCTGGTGTACTCCGCGCTTGCGAGCATGCAGGTTAGGATACCGTTGATTAGGTAGTAGAGGGATGAGAGGATGACTTGCGGGGTATTGGAGAGAACGACCATGGCGAGGAGGTTGTATGTGGCCAAGGAGCGGAGCATTGTCTCCGGACGTGCTTCGGAGAAGCCGAGGCTCCAGACTGTGGAGATCCTGGCGTTGGGTAGGTAGTTTACAACACTGTTGTATGCAATGGCTGTGACGATGGCTCCTCCGAATGTGAGGCATACAAGACACCTTTCAAAGCTTTGTGTTAGCATCCCATAACCACCGGAGAAGCTGAGGGTGTCCTACCAGGTGACGGATAGTATCCAGCGTGTTCGGCCCACTGCGTGATTCCATCGTCGTCGGGGAGGCAGCATTCTAGATTCCACGGGGCTGGGCTTTGCAAATACGGACTTTGCCTTTTTTCGGTCTACCCAGCATCTGCCAAGTGTGGTTCGATCGGGATATTCCATGAATGATGCGATGGCATCGCCAACAGTGAATAACAGTTCCTTGCGGCGCAGTCGGATAGTGAATAGAATGCAAACTACCTTGATGGCGTTGCACACGATCACCAGTAGACAAATCGCTGGACTGTACATGACTCGGCAGCGCTCCTCTACCTTCTCACTTAAGCAGTAGTCTACCGAATAATACTGTGGGGATAAGACTGGCAGGGTGCGACTGTAAGTCGCACAGAGAGAGTCAGACATGTACACGTTGAGCTGGGACTCAAACGATGGGTTATTCCAGCTCTGACTCTGTATGAATCCCAAGGTATCATTGACGGTATTGAAAGGAGCCTTCGATCTCAGAAATGCTCCCAGGGCCATGATATCCAGCGGTGGTGAAGATGAATATTGCAGCTCGGTATAGTTCCATCCGGTAAACGCAAAGTCGGTCCCAGTGACGACAATATCGCTGTAGCTGAAGGGCTCGGCGCTTACTGACCAGTCATTGACATGTTTGAGAAGAGCAGATTGAAGACACTGCGTCGTCCCTGAACCGAAGTCACCATGCAAGTCACTCCTGGGTCCACTGCACATCCAATCAAACGGGTTTTGATTATCGTTTACCGGGGCTGGAAGGCTGCCAATACCAACAAGTAAACCTGGTGAGCTGACTGAATTGTTGTTAGTCACGAGAAGAAGGGTTCGTCGATTGGACAGAAATGCTACTCCATAGGTCTTGATGCAGTCTTCTTTGCTTAAGAACTCGAGTTCTTTTTCCTGGTACATCGTCTGAACTTGTCCAACGTCTTTCCCCATCAGACCCTTGTAGCAGGCTCCAGTGGTTGAGTTCGCCGATCCGATACGCCCATCTGGGGGGACCACAACTATACCATAGGCATTTGAAGACAGTGCAGAGAAAACAGCCGCGTTGTAGCTGCATTTTCATCAGCGCTTACCACCAAGAGGTATAAATCCCCTAACTCACAGAACATGAAACGGTAGAGAAGTCAGAACAAGTAGACACCAGATGATGATTTGCACCCAACTCATGACCCTCAAATTCGTAACGCTCGGAGTGCCTATATCCAACCACTTGCCGTGGGCATGAACGCGGTCGACATCCTTACGCGAGGGCGCATTCAAACATTGCATGCAGTAATTACTCGCACCAAGAAGAATGGTACCAAGTACATTGATCAGGATATGGAATCCTGTGGACCAGCGTTTGGCCTTGGCACAACTCCCCTCGAAGATTGTTTCTGCTTCAAAAGACCGAGAAGATTGTTGGGCTCGCGACGCGGCAATAATAGTGAGAAGGATATTTAAAACTAGGATCGCTGCAGCAGCATGTAGGCAAATGGATGCTCCATTCCTCCATTCATATCCTGTTTGCGATTTCCTTGCTTTCTCGTTTGACTTGAACAGACTTGTACCATCATTGTCAATGCTGGCTCGATCGCTTGTTTCTTCAGTATTGTGCATGTTCAATAACACTGTGTGATTCTACCCCGGATCTTGCCGGTGTTCGGTCGGAACAACTAGGTCATACTGTATTCCTAGACTGGTTACGACCCGACGTCCTTGTGTTTATATTATGTCGAGGCGCGGTGCGGAGTCAGCCTCGCTCAACCCCGCCAGAGTTCTGTTGGCGCTGTCGATCATCCACCAAGCTACTGGTTAGAAGACGTTCAAAAGAGAAAGGTCTGCTCTTGGTATATCACTAGTGCATATCTCCTAATCTAAACATATGTTCAACTATGTTCAACTCTGCAAAGGGCTGGAACGTTTGGAAATCAACGTTCTACCGTCTTACCGTCTAAGATATATGTGACTTTAGTAGCTTTTAATAACTATAGATTCACTTTACCTCAATTCACTGCACACGTTTGTTAGGGTGACAGGTGACAGGTGACAGATTCCTTCACGTGATTCACGGTGACAATGACCTTATATTTCAATCACTGTGCCGTCGTCACTTACCTGTTAATTACATAGTCCCTCCCACTCGAGCAGTGTTCCCCTCTCAACTGCTGTTGTACTACCACTCATATTATCCACTGCTGAATACTAAACGCTCAGAGCTTGCAGATTTTACACCTGCTACAGGAATAAAAAATGGTTACATCACTCGAGGTGCCACTGCCTACCGGCCAAGAGAATAAGAAGCCTGATGGAGGGAAACAGGATGACGGAGAGAAAAAAGAAGAGGATAACAGAGAGATAACAGAAGGGGATGACAGAGAGAAAACAGAAGAGGAAGAGAAAGAAGCAAGGAAGAAGATACGGGATGAGGAGCACAAAAGATGGCTAATGTTTTATACAGCCCGGATGAGGCACATTGTTCCTGGTCTCGTTCTGGGTAATGTCCAGGCCTCATTCAATCCAGATATGCTTCGAGAGAATGGCATCGATGCTATAGTCACACTTTGTGCTGATAGATATGCAAAGTGGAAGAGCCACACGAGAAAAGTGGTTCCAGAACATCGTCACAAAAGGGTCCAGTGTGCGGATTCATCGACACAGGACCTTCTAACTCACATGAGCGACACCTGTGACTTCATCGAACAGATGGCTTCTCCGACCTTACGGTCATCATCTACTTTGCCAAAAGCAGAGGAGCACGAACTGAGTGATGACTCGCGCACCGCACGTCCAGGGGCTGTATTGGTTCACTGTGTTTTGGGAATATCACGTTCTCCAACTATGATTATTGCATATCTCATGCGCAAATACGGTATCAAGCGAGAAGATGCACTGGCATTCGTTATGACGAAGCAGAGAGTCAAACCTAGTGCTAATTTTACCCGACAACTTGAAATATGGGAGGAGGTGGGGTATCAAGTGTGGGAGGATGAGGAGAGGACAATTCCGAAAGCACCATACCAAGCATTTCTGGATGGCCGAGCAGCTCTTCTGAAAAAGTTGGGACTCACAGGAGATGAACCCCTCACGCTCCTGACCCTTTGAATAATGGCCGACCATAGGAAGGTTGCGCTTCAGCGCCTATTAACCGCTAGATCGAGATTCACTGAGCTTCCCCTGAGATTCACCACAGAAAGAGCCATGCTTTATATTCACTCTGCCCCCAAGATACTAACAGGGAAAAGGAGAAAAAAAACCGTATTTGCCTGCTTTCTTTAACTTCTTTTTGATCAACACAATACACAATAACATGATCTACATCCGCTTCCTAGACATACCGCAAGGATGTCCGGCATGCAGGCTGACAATGAAGAGTGCCTATCTCTTGTCGATGAGATGGAAATTGAATACAAGGGCCGAGACATTTACACCTTCGTAAACACTGTTCCTGATAAGATCTTTCAAACCGACAATATGGGACTTTGGGCGCAGACTATCTCTGGCGAAACAAAAATCAATCTGGGGCTGCCCTCTATAAGGGCATGGCTCAAACGACTCGCGGAAAACGGCCCTGGCCCATTTGAGGAATACTACGGGGTCAAATATAGATTCGTTAAGCGTGAGTTGCGTCGTTTGTCATAAGGGCCGCTGTTAACTATCTATATAGAGTCTCTTAATCCCGGATCTAGCACTCAGATGTCAACACTGAGCTGAATGGGCGAGCCACTTTGCAGCAATTTTTTAATTGTTTTTGTCTTTTTTATTTTATTTTATGGAGATTTCAGTTTACTCAGAACGGTACTTGCTTTCGTTGAATTTACTCGCCACAATCGTTTGCTGTTATCAAGTTAGGTAGCAGAAAGATGGTGCTCTAATTTAGCTTCTTAAAACGCATCGATCAAGATTACGTTTCGACAGTAAAAAGATACACCTATCTCAGTTCCCTTAGAAGCTTTAATAGTAGATCTAGATACATCCAAGAGTATCAACATTGAAATATTAGATTATCTTTCTGTATGTTTCGTCCAGTTGCCTGATCATGAGTTCCCCAAGCCACGCACCGATTGCCCACTGAGCACACACCAGAGCTCCGGTTGAAGAGGTCATAGTATCTGAAAAGTGAACCGCTTTTTGCAAAAGCTACAACTCGAAGGAGCTACAAAGAATTTAACACTCAGGAGTTGTTTGACAGCCAAGGCCATCATAGAGTAACGATAAGTTCGCCCAAAGCACGAAAGAATTTGCCAAGGAGAAATTCAGCTCCCGTGCGAAGTGAGGTCCCTCTAGTCATATACCAAGCGGCTCCATATGATACAGTATTGGAAGTGCTATTGCTTCAAGGCTCCCCGGGCCCAGGTGCAACACGATCCCTTCATATCCGCGATGTCCAGCATAGTCTGGCAGCGAGAGAAGGAGATCAAGATATTGACGACGAGGCACTAACCCCGCCGAAACGTCTACTCTCAACATGTGCTGGTCTTCATACTATTGATGAAGAGTGCAACATCATCCGGTTGGTTTATTATAAAGCGCAAGAATACGTCAAGGGAAACGGGTACAAATATTTCCCCAATGGTCCGGTGGGGATTGCGTCTATCTGCTTGGGGTACTTATCCCTTGAAGTATCTAGCCAGAGTTATTGCTCAAAAAACGAACAATGTAAAAAGTGGACAAGGAAATATGTGTTTGTTGAGTATATGACCAAAGATCTGGGGAAACATACTTCTGGAGAGATCAGGGATACACTGATACAGTTAGCAGCCAAGCTCTTTTCGAACAACAGTGAAGTGTCTTCTGCAACACAAACTGCATTATGCAAGGACAACAGTACAGGCAAGATAGCCAAGTATTTCTCGAGCATTTCTATATTATTTACTTTATATTCTACTGGGGAGAAGCAGGCGTTGTAAGCCAATTACTGGGGAGCTACGAGAAAAAGCTCGACCTCCAAGATCCGTATAGCCGAACACCTCTATCATACACTACAGAGAAGAGTCATTTGGCTGTTGCTGTTCAAGATAGTCTAGACCACACTTCTGTTCAACTATTGCTACATTTTCCTTGCAGTCATTCCCTTACAGATTCTCCAACACATTCTAACAGTATGCAATTGCCCCACCGACCTGCGGTTGAACGCACGTGGTCCAAACACGGTTCCAGCTCACAATTTCATCTTCCTCAATCTGATCTTTTCCATCGGGACTTGACCGCTCTTTTGGTTTAGATGTCTCCAATTGCTTTGAGAGTCAGTACCACTTCTCTCCCACCAATACGATTCTCTCAGCTGTGCTTGGGTGGAGTCTGGCTCGATACTTGGTATACTACTGTTGAGATAGGCTACCAAAGATCATGTTAATTCCTGTGGAGCGGCCCACTTAAAGATCGTGAGTGGAACGACAAATTATGTAAAAGGAAATGATATACAAACACACTCACAGGGGCCAGCACTAATACTGCACGATTTTCTCAGCTGAAGAGTAAGGAGAGTTTGGCTGGAGACTAGTGGAAACGCCCCAAAGTTAGCTCCGTGGAGCTGTCAGAAAACCAACCTGTTCAGGTAATTTATAAGATCGGATGTGTTAGCATCGCTACTGAGAGGATCGAAAAGACATCATTCACTTAAATCATGACGAGCTCAGCGATCTTCCATCTGCCAGGCCAACCAGATGCCTTAGAAACCGCAGTCAAGCTTTTACAGTTGCACCAGAACGACCATCATTATGCATATGAACGCGATGATCAGTGGTATATTGGATTAGGCCAGAGGGCTTCCTTACAAATAAACGCCACTGGACAAGAGTTTACGGTCTTTCGCGACAACAGTCACAGCACATGGCCGGTTGAGAAATCATTGCTAGACATTGCGAGGGATTTCGTCTCCGAATACACCAATTCCTGCGACGGGCGCATATTTGGCTATGCTGGCTACAATTTTGGTCCCCATATGCGAGGAGAAGCCTACCTGCCTGGACAATGGCCTATCCTTAGCTTGATGGCTCCAGCATTGCAGGTGGCGGTTCACAAGAGTCATGTCAGTGTTACAGGTTATGATGAACAAGAAGTCCAAAATCTCTGCCAACTGCTATCGAGCGATGCCTTCCGTCAAAGTCACGATTTCAAGATAGCTCGTCCCTTGTTCATCGATCTCGATCATAACAAAGATGTGTGGACCAGTCAGGTCAGAAAAGCGCTGGTCTGGCTGAACAAGGGCGACTATGAGAAGATTACTCCATCTCGTAGCGTCCCCCTCAACAGTAGGGTTGACCTGGTTTCCACCCTCTTCCACGGTCGTCGAGGCAATACACCACGCAGGACATTTTGCTTTGACTATGAAGGTCGTGGATCGGTGGGGTTCAGTCCCGAGTTAGTGGTCCAAGTGAAGAACAAAAAGCTCGTCATGGATGCGGTGGCTGGGACTCGATCCAGCCAGGGAACGCCGGAGGAAACTGCTCGGCTACGACGGGAATTACTTGACAACCCCAAGGAGGTATTCGAACACATTCTGACGACCAAGGCTGCCATGAAGACGCTTCGGCCGCTGTGCCAGCCAGGGTCAGTCCGCGTGGAAGAGCTGGTTTCGGTGGTCAGTAGGGGACCTGTGCAGCATCTCTACTCCAGCGTCGTGGGAGACCTGCCCTCCAACAAGGATGCCTGGGATGCTCTAGCACTCGCATCACCCGGGTTCTCGCACTCCAAATCCTCCAGGAAAATGACCAAGGAAGAGCTCGAGGCGTTGGAAATATATCCACGCGAACTTTATATGGGATCTGTTCTTTTCATTGAAGGCAATTACTCCATGGAAGCGGCAAATGCCCTCCGCTCTGTCTTTCAAGATGAGAATCGTCAATGGCTGCAGGCTGGTGCAGGGATCATCGCACACTCAACCCCCGAGCGTGAGCTAATCGAGACCAGAGAAAAGCTGGCTAGTGTACAGCCATATGTGATGGCCAAGGCCGAGTAATATCAACCCTACTTCACCTTCCTACAAGATTCAGTTTTCAACCAGTTCCATGAAATGAATCATTGATTCAAACCAGTACTTCTAGACCTGATGGTCACTTGATGAAATTTGGCAAATTTGGACAGCGATCTCTCTGTTGCATGCACTGGCACTAGGACGGCATAAGCCCCACTGCAATGCAGATAGATAGGTCAAGTCTGACTCGTACGGAGTAGTGGCTTCTGTTTTAATACCGGAACCAGCAAGAGATCATCATCTTCAGTAATGTGGAGCTGAATACTCCTTGCTATCAGCCGAATGAGATCGCTGAGCCTCTGGGTCCACCGTGATCAAGCGGTGGTTGCCTGTCTATGTCGTTCTAGACCTTTTCCTCTGTACTTTCTTGGATTTCGTTCTTTCTTTCTTTCTTTTTATTCACTAATTTCCTAACCAACTTCCAGTTTCTTTCTAAAGTCATTCACTCATGCATGCAGTTCAAAGGGGTGGGTTTTAATTACCCAGCTATTTCAAGCTCTGTTATACTGATTATAGACACGCACTTTTACCTTTCCCCACGCACCGGGATTAATCACTGAGCAGACAGCGGGGCATATAATAAGACTGTAGTCTGTTATATTGAGCAAAGCCAATATCATGTTGAGATTTGAGTACATTATCCTCACTATAATTCAAAACCGGCTCCCGGGTCTTGTATCCTTTCATTATTTCCCTAGCCCTAACCCCGAGCCGCCAAGCCATAAATTTGTGGATACTTGACAGAATTACTAAAGTTGGAAGTATAAATATTCCCAGAATATTATATACATAATTTGTATAGGAGATCATACAATACCTCGTTCAGGAATCATGTTTCCAAGTTTTGAATTTTAGTGTACATACATACATACATACATTGGAAGAATGCTACCTGGTACACCTCTCCTCCGGAGGCCTCCAACCAACCCCCAACCCCTCCAGAACCAGTCTTTCCCTTTCTTCCCACGTTCTCCCCTCCCGCTCAAGGTCCATCACTTGTCCTCCAGTGGTACGTTCCCTCACCCCGCTAGAATCAAATTTCCAGCCCCGCGATTTCTTTGCCCACCGGCGCAGGTCCCGTTCGAAGGTCGTATCGCCCGACCAGCCGAGGACGGCACATCCGACGGTGCGCCAGGGGGATATGATGATATCCACACGGCGGTGGGGGTTAGGGTTACGTTTCCGTTTCTGGCGAGATTGCTCTTCGGCATCTGCTTCAGACGTCGGGGTGGGGTCGGTGTCGTCCTCGAAGTTCGGGTCTTGCCATACAACGAGAGCTTTGTCGAGACTGTCGAAATGTTTCCCTGTGCCGTCTCCCCTGTAGGGTAGCGTCTGTTGATCCCGGTTGGAGGTGGTCATGTGCAAGGTTAGGGTATGTGTGATCCAGCCTTCTGATTCGAGGCTCCCGACGATATCGACGACCAGGTGTTTCGTTACAGACTCGTCACGGTGAGACAGGATGAGATCAACATCACCGCTAGCCTCCTTGCCCCGTCGATACCCGCCCACCACAATACATTCCACGCCACGGCCGTCGTACCGGGCATCCGGACGGACGAGATTAGCGTGTCGATGGATAATCTTGGCGATATCCTCGACCTCGTGGCGGGGGATACCCTGCAGGAACTCGTCGTAGTATTTCACGCCGATCTGCTGCACGCGCGAGAGGCTGTTCCAGCCGTATTCGACTACGTCGTCTAGATCTCGCCATTGGCGGTGGTAGTAGAAGTCGCGGGCTGTTTTGGCGCCCACACCCCAGATATTGTAGAATTCGTGTATGACTCTGAGGACCGGGTCTGTGTCTAGTGCCGTCGCGGCTTCGACGGTGCCATCTTCGCTCTGCTGGTATTCGGCGAAGAGGTTGGCGATCTTGGCGTCGCAGCCCGGTAGGGTGAGGATCTCGGATGGACGGCGAAATTCGTACGGGTAGGCGGCTATTGATGCGATAGAAGTGCTGTAAGCTCGCACGCCAATCTCGTCGAGTGTCAACTCTCGGACTGTACGGATCTTGACTAGTTGGTTGATGAATCTTTCGTTGGGTGGGTGGAGAGGTGCAGAGCGCATACAGGCGTATAGGGTATGACTCTTGACCCAGTCTGGGGCTGGTGGTAAGGGGGCTGTTTCTTCATTTTCGGATGTCGTCTGTCGGTAGAGCTTTGGTGGGCGATGTTGGCTGGATGGTGCTTCGTGGGTTCGGCGAGAGAACCGGCTAGATTGTGCCGGGGGTGGCCTGGATAGCGTGTCTTGCTTTGCCCTTTGTAGTATATCGTTTGCTTGGGGGCCTTCTACCTTGGGTCTACTGGCAGGGCGCTCGACCTTGCGAGCTTGGTATACCACGAACGGATCGATGGGTACAAGCTCTTTTGACTCAAGGCATCGGTCTAGCCATTCTAGACGGACAACCCGGAGTGTATCTGCCTGCTTGTCTGAGCTCGACTCGACCGATGATCGATCGCTTGATACGGATCTTGGCCTTGGTCGCTTTAAACGTTTGCCGGTGCCATGTTTGCTTCGCACGCCGTCTTCTTCACTCTCCGTCTCTGTACTGAGATCAACTACGTCCACCTCCGCGACGACTTCCACAGGTCGCGGAGTGGGTTCATGAATGCTCGCTTTCTTCGCCGGGGGCCTGGATGTGGAAAGATCAAGGTCCTCTGTCCATACACCACGGGATCGCAGCTCCAGAGCGGCCCGTTTCTTCTGTCCGATCTTGCCGAGAATCCATCTCGCCTCGGAAGCGTCGTATGTCAGGCTTGCGTCTCGACTGACGAGACTCTCTTCTATTTGATGCAGTGATTCCAGACTGAGGTGGGTAGGCAGCACAAAGATGGCCGGACAGGATGAGAAGCTTGGTCCGTGGCCGTCGTGTAAAGATGAGATGTCGGATAAATCATCAGACATGGCGGAATGTTCTTTTCCATCGCTCCGTATAGATGTTAGCGCATTATATGTAAGATATTGGATAGATATATATAGATATGGAGATTCAATGTATATGTAGTTATCCGCCGGCCATCATGCACGTTTAGTAAGAGATAAATTGTTGTCAAGGCTTAATCTTTAAACATTTTTGTAAGTTGGAACCTCGTATAACTTCATGCGATACGAACCCCGCAACTGGCCGAGATTTCTCATAAGCGCGGCTGCAGTAGCTTATCGGTGATCGGTATCAATAGATCGACATTATAGTACACTATCTGGAGTGGATTTTGGTGCCTCTCGTCTTGAAGAGTTTTGGATGGATGGCTATGATGTCATTAAACCCCTTTATGCCTGAGGCAGGCTTTGTCTGCCGGCAAAGGCATCCCTGGTCAATCTATATCATGAAACTTCGCAATGTTATCGTGCAGCACGCTAGAAAATCAAACTTTTATATTGTCATATTATGCATATCTCAAACACTTTCATACTCGTGTATAGTCCTCCACGATAAAATTCTAACCCCATGCCAACATGCACGCATGTATCTTATTCCAACCCGCCTCAAGCAGGCCCATCCACCGGCTCCACCGCAACCTGAGATGCAGCTTTCTTACTGACAGCACCATAGCTAGCACCGGAAGCACCGCCCCGTTCTTCGCTCAAAATAGGGGTCTCCGATCTTGGTGCCGCGACATTATCCTGGTTTCCTTCTTCGTCGGTCACAATGGTCTTTCCGTGTCTTCTCGCAACCCATCTCCTCCATGGCTTGTAGACGACAACACTGAGAGCGCCGATGATGATGAATAACCCGCAAATACCGCCGCCAATAGCGTCGTAGTAGTCGCCGGCTGTCTGCACCCCATCCCAGAATTTGCCAGTCGGCTCGGCGACGTTGAGCACGAGAGTGAGAAGCTGAATGACTCCGATCACGATAGCGACGACGACGGTCAAGCAGGTCAGCACGATAGAGTAGTACAAAAACGCGATGGGGTCGCGGTGGTTCTGCGATGGCGCGATTTCGTGGTCCTCGCCGATGAGCGGCGTCTCGGCGGTCGAGCTGTCTTCCTTTGGTGGGAGGAAGTTGGCAGCGGGCTGAATGTATAGCGAGAGCATGAGGGCCCCGTCAGTGGTGTCGAGGAGGCACATTCCAGCTAAGGTGGGTGTGAGTAAGAATTCTTTACCAGTAACTGGACTGCATTGGGTCCTAAACACACCTGTAAAGAGGATTGGGAAGATCAGGATAACCCAGAAATCTGTGCCTCGCGCAGCTTCAACAGAGGAAATTCCAAGGAGAGCGATCTCCGAAGATGTATCAAATCCAAGACCAAAAAGAATACCAAGCGGGTACATCTTCCAAGGACTGAGAGTCTGTTAGCCAGCGTTCGTTTCATTTTGGATACGGGGCGGGTTACCGGTCAATCAGTTTGAACATCCGTTTCAGGATAGAGAAGAGGACTCCACCTCCTTCAATCTTCCAGGCCTCGTCTTCTTGGCCTTCGGGCAGGTCTAAGACTTTCTGCATCTGCTTGTACAGCTTATAAAGGATGTAGAAATTCATGAGACCTAGCAAGATGAGAAAAGCGGCACTGACGGATGTGCCAATAATTCCGCCAACAGTGCTGAAGCTGTCAAAGCGGGATGACACGGCGGCTGCAGTGGCAGCCACAACAATAGATGTGATGATGACAATACTGATGGCCTGTCAGTTCTATCAATGGAATCAATGGAACAAGAGCACGCACGTGGAGTGACCCAAGGAGAAAAAGGTTCCCACAGTGACGGGCTTTTGACCCGTGGCCAGCAGCCTACGCGTCATTAAATCGATAGCCTAACATTGTAGGTTAGATGAGTTATTTTATTTGCACATGGTACAGGGCACATACTGAAATATGGTCAGCATCAAAGGCATGCCTTAACCCTAAGGTATATGCGAGGACGGCATTCGAGACCAGAGACCTATAGCATTGTCAGTATCGACAAAGTTTCCCATGTAGCACAGATATTAAGCTTCTAGTTGAGCAGGACAACATACGGATAGTAACGCTGAGGGATACGTTAGCGAATATACTAAAATAGAGCGCCAGGTTCAATGGCTTTCGCTATGGCGTCGGGGATAGCTTACCAGAACAATAGCAGCCGCAATCCATACCACTACATTGATGAATGCAATGAATAGGATGATAGCAAGGGCCGGAAAGGGGATTTTGCGGACTCCCGGTATCCGACGATGGGAGCGCTCAGCATGTCGAATGAGTGATTTTGGCGTCCATTTGCCTTTTTTTGTATCGACGACGCTCTGGGAGTCTGACAAGGCCTCCGCGAAGCTGGGAGGGGGCGATTCCCGCATGATGAAGAATCTGAATCTGAATTGGCGATTGTGATCTCCCGTTTCTTTCACTGTACGGTCTATTCGGGTTTGAAATTGTGTGTCTGTGTCGTGTGCTGTGCGTGGTTGGGGTGGATGAAGCTTTATTTCATATGTGGGGTAGGAAGAAAAATGATAGATAAGAGTAACACTTATTATCAATAATGGCAGCCAATGGTGGATCCAGAAAAGCAAAGACACAAAGAGCCAAGAGAACTGGACGAAGTTGATTTGAGCAAATTAAAGCTTGTTTCCTCGTCTGTGGCCGAGTTCCATCCTTCGAATCCCTTGCGCTTCACGCGGTTTCGCAATGGTTTCCGACCTTGGATCGGCGGTGTAGGAGAAGAATGACCTGTGAAAGCGATATGACAAGCGAATAATATCCTTCTCTACACGAACGTCACCTTGCTTTTTGTCAATTTCCGCCCATACGAAGTGCAGAGTTCATCTGCGATACCACGGCCGATGACTGCCGATGCCCCACTACTGCCACCCCTCTCGGCATCGCCAGTCGGAGGATGCCGTTGCAACCCTACTCCACTACGCAAAGATCGTGATAACAAGTGCTTCGATATGTGTCAATTTGATTTTAAACCTATATACAACGTTATTTCGTTTTAACGTTCGGTAGTCTTTACTGCTCATCACCCCTCTTCTATCCCTTGGGGGGATGGGGGATGGATTTTGATGTTGAGGCGGACCGAGTTCCAGATATCACTCTGGAAGGCGCGGGATGATCTCCCGGGCTGATGACGCGACGAATCGTATCCTGGAAGTGCTCAGAGTCTCATACCCCATAGATTTGAGTTATGGCGTTGGGAACTAAGGCCGAGTTGGCCGGTTCGCCGATATCTTGGGCCAGATCCACTTGGGACCGGCCAAGGCATGTTTGGCAGATGGACGGATACGAACCATCTCGGAATGTTCTGGCCGCAACAAAGCAGTAGCAGTCTTCCGACTTGGAGATAGGAAAAGTAAGGGTTAAGCATGTGATGCCGACTGGCATATGGCTCTCCACTCCCCAGATCAAGCGGCGGCGAGAACAGTCGGCGACGGCGTCCATTTGGTGACGGTCGGCTTAGTCTGCTGCAGGTTGGAATTAAGGATGTTCCACTCGTTCCTCGTAATAGGGGTGACATCCGAAGCAGACTGTGGGGTCTTGGGTCCCCGTTTTGTCGGAGCAGCCCTATATCTCGGCGGATTGGCCTCCATGCGCGCCCGCACGGTGCGCTTCGGGGAGTTCCGGCTGCTGTGCTCTGCCCGCGCCCGTGGCGGCAAGATGATCCCTTCCTGGCCGAACTGCTTCTTATAAGTTTGGGCGATGTGGGTCAGGAGTTCGTCCCGCACGTCGAGCTGTTCATAAACGCGGTGAAAGAATGCTTTACTGAACGGGCGGCCCTGAAAATCCCCAATGGTGCGATGTAGGAGCTGTACGCAGGATGTGACACAGGACGCTTCGGGATTTTTGCCTTGGTTGGAAAGGATGCACAGCCGACGTTTAAATGTATAGATGCGGTCTACATTGAGCAACGTGAGGCCTTCTCGGCTAAAGATGACCTCGTTCTGCATGATCGACTGTTGAACCAGGTACTCGTTGGCCTGACGCTCGTATTGGCTGCGATTCAGGGCGTCTGTCCAGCTTTGACCCAGGGAGAACTTATTGCCGGCTTTGACCACGGCGCGGTAGACGGTCCGCCATGTTTGTTGGTCAAGGTCCTCGATGGGAATTACCATCAGATCGGACGGTTCGCCGGTGGGGTATGGCTTTCCACGACCCACTAGTAACGTGGCATGCATCATCTTCTGCTCGAGCTTGTAGGAGATGTACTCGAGGGCGGGAAGAATTGAAGGAGGAAGAGTCTCTGAGTCAAAGGTAAAGTCGGGAGAAAGGGGACTAGAGATCATATCGGTCGTAAGGCTGCGAATGGGAGAAGTGGGCACATAAACACCCGTTGGGCGTGGTAGACGAATCACACCCATGATGGAGAACTAATCAAAGAGCAGATGGAGTATAGAATATTGAAGATTGTTCAGAGTAAGTAGTGTGGTTTCCAACCCACAAACAACCCCAGGTTATTCTCTGGAGGGTCTGATGATGAAAAAGAGCAGAGGGCGGAGGGCCTGGGGAAACCCATCCAGATATTATTATATTTTTTTTTTCTCTCATCATACCAGATGGGAATCAACTGAAAGAGGGGAAGGTATTCTTGCCATGAGGGTCAACACACCAAATTCCTCTAAATTGGGTGTTCTAATCATAGCAAATTGTTGCAGCAATCAGATTGGATTCCAAGGGAACGGAACCCAATCCAATGGCCCCATCACGATAACCTTAAGCGCCGACTGTGACAACTTGACGACCGCCTGCAGATGGTCACCCTCTAGCCTTGCAGGATCAGCATATGGTCGAGGTCTGATTGGCTAACAACGGTACGAAAATAGCATCAATTAGCCGTTTATTTTCCTAGTACGGAGTATATTCAGGGTCATTGGACCTAACAGTTCTAAAAATGGATAACCCTAAACAACGACTTCTTCAGATACAACCATCACACCACGATAACATAGAGAACATTCTACCAAATTAACCCAGAACCAACACTTGTGCTACTGCTAGTTCCCCTCTTTCAGCGCGCCCCCCTCTCGACCGTAAAAGTCAGATCCAAGTGGCTTCCATTTCGCCCGAAGATTGGCGCCAAAAAGTTCGTGCCCCCGCTCAAGGCCGACTCAACTGTAATTTCACTCCAATAATTACCCGACGCGTTGCTCCTGGGGGATGCACCTGCAGCGTGCTCAGCCTTAGGGTAAGCACTTGCAGAAACTATTGAAATCCTGCATATGCCCGGCGGTTGACGTCTGGTTCTGGAAGGAAGCTCACATTTAGTGTTGACTTTAGCTTGCGCTAGTATCTCCGGTCACTGTTCTTCCTGGGATAATGGTGTGTACCCCGCTTTGAGTGATTTTTGATTCTTGGTTAAGGAGGGCGTCAACAGCACCTGAAGCTGTCAACTATTCCGCCCATCCAGAAGGTTAGTATCGATATCTCTACAGCTTCAATCTCGGGCCTTCGCTACATACATCATTGCCGTATATTTGCTGTATTATATAATAAATAATAATTAATACAGCGTATAGATAGCGAGGCGCTCAAAATTCTTACACAGGCTAAAGAAAGGTTAGGTCGACGACCAGTGTAGAGAAGGTGAGAGAAGTTACTATAGTAATATAAGAGTATATTATATCCCGGCCTTCGCTCCTATGTAGGAATACCAGAAGAAAGCAGTAGATAATACAGTTAGCGTCGGAGAATCTTATATAACAGAGAGGCAACATAGGAACAAATAAGACAGTCAGCCTAGGTATTAGGATAAGCGATCAGGTTGTTCAGAGAGTTGCTTATATTCACTCCGTGGGTTGCTCAGTGCGGCGAGGTGACTAACTTATTCTGTGCTCTGGGAGCAAGTGGCCCTGATCAACTGTTCTTCCGAATCCGCTGTCTATATGCCGCTCAGTTGTAATATACTTGTTCCGTGCGCAAGTTCAATACCATATTCTCTATTCTTTTCTTCCCTTATCCTTCACTTCTGTCCCTTTGCTATCACTATGCCTACTCTTACCTTAACTCCCACAAGCGTCTCATCAAGGACTGTGCTCTCTGCAGATCGGTTCAAAGTACAGCCAGAGTTTGAGAAGACTATTTACAATACTCTTCGTGAGACTAATGGCTTTCATGAGCTCGTGATTACCAACGTTCCGCCAGGGTGGGAGGATTTCCTCTGGGAAGTTGAGGAAGATCTTCCTTGTATCTGCAAACCTTATATTCCAGACAGCTGTTGCTTACGACTTACAATTATGCCCACATACACCCATAATTGTATTGCTGAATAGATTTCAGCCTCAATCTCCAGCGCCAGCGCGATAGGTTTTCTAAACCCAGCAGAGATAGACCTTCTCCTTTTACAACAGGGCATGAGTGAGTTCAGCAGGTGACCTTGATTATACCCTTACTAATACTATAGTCTACAGAACTATTATTCACAAATGGTCCATATCGTGGTTTTCGAAAGAAACCAGATGCTCTTCTCCACCCCCATCGCAGAGGTTGGATGGAGCGAGTCATATAATAGCCTACTTAATGACATGAATAGGTTACTCATTGGTGGCAATAGGGCGATAAAAATCGGTATTCTTGTTAAGTGGACGAAGCATGCAAATAACTCAGTTAGCGGAGTCCTCGAACTTTACAGAAATGACCGACGAGGGATCCCGAGACGTACACAGACTGAAATTATTTTCCCAATGCCTACTGGTGACCCGCCTCAGCCACTTGATATTCGACGTTGTGACCTGTGCCCTGTCCAGTCTCCTCGCAATCCAAACGAGATTTTTCCTCTGGTAAATTAGCCGCTTACGCTATCACGCTCAGATCAGTCTTGCGAAGGAGGGATATGTCCCTGCCTAGCCACTAAAATTTATATCTGTATTATTCTGGTTTGTTCGTTGCCTGGTGTAGCCTTCTTTCTCAATTGCAATGACAGTATTGATAACCTTGGCAAAGACTATATATTGTTGAATCTGGTGTAAGTGTAGGTATCATCGACTATGTTAATTTTGATATACAAATCCTAATCTGCGACTACTACCTGTTGGGAGAAATATCCATGTGCCAGCCGCTGGTACGGCGGACACAAATCGACCATCTAGCCAAATTATCAACGCACAATATTCCTATTTTTTCTTCTTTTTTCGGACTTCTATCGTAATAGAGAATACAGGTATGTATATATACTTATACCTTTTCCTTAGAAGTAGCTGAATAGTCACCAACTTCCCCCTTTCAACCTTTTAATCTATTCAATTTGTGCAATCGATTCAATTCAACCGTTGCGGCTATTTTGACTATTGTAAGCCAGTACAAGTCAAACGATAATCTAAATAGCTTAAGCAGACAAATCAATAAATTGAATAATTTGAACAAGCCTTACAATTCACTGTCTCTTGCCCCAGCCAAATCATGTGTTCTCCCGCTTTCACCTCACTTCAAGTTCTCATCTATTTCCCCTCGTCTTGTTATCACCTATCATCATCAGTCTGAGCATGTGGGTCGCTCAGTCATCTATGATCAAAGTCACTATGATATTGATCACTCTGAGCTATGGAAGTGGGATGCTGCTACCTGAATCAGTCATTTGCAGTCAAGCAATCATGATATTAGTCCCCCTGAGTTACGTGGGCAGTCATCCATGATCCAGCCATTACGATATTAATCCCGCCGAGTTACGTGGGACTCATCTTTGATCAAGTCATTATGATATCAATCCATCTGAGTTACGTGTATCAATCATCATTTTCGATCGTACCTTCCCGTTTGCACTACTCGACACCCACGACCCCGTTTGCGTCGGTGTCGTCGAAAGTTCAACCTATTCCCCCACCAAGCTATCCGATTCGTTTACCAGCAACACAAGATCACCGTATCACAAGATCACGGCCTGATGGAGGTCTCCGGCTCTAAACGCCGTAAAATAAACGGGTTCGTATACCCTCATGTTCCAGCCACCGACATAGATATCTTTCCGTGTGAAACTCCGGATGATCCATTTTCGATCCGGCTAGTGCCATGTATGTATATCCTGGCCTCTGACCCACAGTTAACTAGATGGCTCCTTAGCGCTAATCAAGGTATATCTATTGTAGATTCCCCATCTAAAGACGGGTCGAAAGCGGATACGTTTCGCGCAGAATCAATCACAAGTGTCGATCAGCAAAATGAACGCTTCGTCAGAAATCACCACCCTACTCTATCCTCCAAGAAGAGAGTATGGGTCTCGGAATCCGGTTTCGGTGAGGCTGTCTGGCTCGTCGACTCCCCTATTACCGGTTCGGAGGGTGTCTACGCAGGTGGGCGCCCTATACACTACTATCCCTGGGATTATTGGGAGTATATCCCCACGGGGATTCTCACTCCGAGGTCCCCTGGTAAATACAATCAGCACTTCGATCGATACATTAACCCAAGGCGACTCTTGAGGCCCACGGATCTTGACAGCCTTCGAGAACTGTTTCCAGAGGCTGTAGGTGTCGAGGTACTTATTGCTGGTTTTATAGTCGTTCTTTTCAAGCATGTGCAATATGTGCACCATGCGTATACTCAGATTTGGCCTTTAGAGCTGGCCGGCCTGCGCGTATACTTTGATGTTGCCCGCTATCAGCTGACAACAACTCCTATCGAATCTGGCCTGGGTGTGAGTGCCGATGTGGGTGGGCAGCACGACACTCGTGCAGGGTGCCTAGGACTCAAGGTTCAACTGCAAAATGGTTCCTGCGCCATTACAACCGTAACGCATGGGTTTGTACATTGCCCGGGAGATTCGACGCCGGCAAACATGATGCATTTGTTTCGGTTGATGGTTGACAAGGCAAAAAAGTCGTTGATGCGATATCTGCCAGTCAAGTTCGGTGACAGCGATGGTCCCTTCATCGTTCCCAAAGGAGTGCTTACCAATAGCCCCGTGGGAAGAGATGCGTGGCTTGCCTTGAATAACCGGAAGGTACGTTCATCAATCTAAATCTTGCATAGTTATACTTGTCTTACGCCACTAGCTTGGGACCATAACGCGCACGTATGACCAGCCAAGCTATATTAAACCATACCCAGCAGGGTACAGTCACGACCTTTCTCTAATCTCTGATCCTGCGCTCCCAGATTTAGTCAGCCCACCCGGCTATCCATCAATAACCGGGTGGGCAGATTACTCTGCTGCCCTCGACGGACAAGAGGTATATGTGGTCTGTCACCAGACGAACGTTGGGAGATGGCGAATGATCAAGGGTAACTTGGACTCAACCCTTTTCACGAGAGCTGCAGTTCTAGGCACGGGGTACACATGGAACAGAGAGGATAAGTCTCAAAATGCGTTCTTACTGTGGCACACGGGTGCTGAGTACGCACCAGCTGATGGCTGGCCGGGGGCCCCTCTTTGTCTTGGTCGACCATCGGATACGGCCGCGAAAGCGGTGGTCTTCCAGAATTTTCAGCGCCCTTGCCTCCTTGTCAGTCAGCCTGAGGTAGAGAAACA